TGAGCAAATACTTTTGGCAATATAGTGTATATATATATATATATATATATATATATATATATATATATATATATATATATATATATATATATATCACTGTATAAAAATTGACTTTCGTCTTCAGAATCTTCAATATTAAAAGCACAAGCAGTGGGCACATGGAAAAGTATAACTTTTGGAAAAGTATAACTTTTCCATGTGCCCATTACTTTATCTTTGCCGTTTATCTGTGCAGCTTGTCCAAATTTAACATGAAACCCTTTGCTGTTTGTATAATAAATCCTCTCTGTGCTCAGCCAGTGTATTTCTTTGATTGAATAAATAGTGGTCTCTAAGATGTTTAAAGCCTACTTAACTTAACTTACTTTTTTAACTTACTTTTATAACTTCCTTATTTTTGTCCAATTTGTCTTATAAAAACACCTCAAAGGTCTTCCCAAATTGCATTTATATCGAGTAAAATTATTTATGACCTTTAAAGGAGTGGATTTTATTTAGAGGTAAAAATGCACACCTTCTAAATTTTTATTTGGAAACAATTTTAATGTGTTTTGTGACATAAAATCAAATTAAAACTGCTAATTTGTGGTCGTATACTGACAAAATGTAGAGAAATGTGTTGCTAATCAAACCTTCGCATAGACTCACTTCAGAAAATCCTAACTCTCTTCAATGCCGCTGACGATACACTAAGGTGTTTTGACCACGTGTTTACCTGTAAAATCAGATAGGTAGATAGCACCCATGTGCATCTCTCTCTTGAGAGGAGTGGTTATTGTTAACTATCTGCAGCCTCCATCAAAGAGTCTCAAACGGCAGGCCATTTTCAGAGAGTGCATGAATGAGCTCTGCACCCTTACAGTATCTCTGGAATCACATAAAGACAACCTTGTGCTCTGCAATTTAGTGTGCGAGAACTCAGGTGCTTGTGCATGTCTCAACCAGAGGAAAAACAAAAGTATGACTGACATAATCATGTGTCAGAAGATTTATGGTCAAGGGGGAGAAGAGGGGAGAGGAAAACTTGAGAGCATATTTCCTTGCTCCTCCTCCTTCCTAGAATTATTGTCTTTAGCTCTGTCCACTTGTTTGAGTGAAGTGTTGGAAGTGAGTAGAACAAAAAACACACACATACACATAATACCCAAATTATACACCAACTCTCAGTAAAGGCTATGTCTAAATAAAGACCTTACAAGATGAATTACTTAACACCATTATTAAAGTGAAGCTATGAGTCATTTCCTTGACAGTTGGTGTTATTTGTATTATTTATTCTTATAGATTTCCTTGAGAAAATGAAATCCAAGATGTTGACTTGTGCTTCAGTTGTACATTTAGGACAAGAACCTGGAGTTTAAAGAAATGAACCATTGGTTTCAACAAATGCCAGCATCATCAGATGAATATTTCAAGTCAGTTATAAATCTGTTCAACTCGGGCTGTCAGGGCTGATCTAATGATAAAACACAGAGCAGGACAGGTCTTGCTTAAATATGTCTTAAAGACTCATTGTTGGCTTTGACGCTAATTGCTGGCTGGAGCAGAGAGCTGGGCGGCCCTGCTGTAACAGGGTCACGGGTGCAGATAGGGAAGCCGTGGCAGACCTCCAGCAAAAACAAAGGGCGTGAGCCAGACTGCCGACCATAAATCTGCAGCTACCACCAATTTCCAGCTACCGCAGGTGACGGGGCCGAGGATGCACTCGTGCGTCTTCTGTGTGTCTCAATAAATAAAACTCCAAAGGGTAACGCAACCCTACTTCAGAGGAACAAGGATATTACACCCCTGAACATGTCGGCATGGGCCCGGTCCTGTTTATGGAGAAACACAGCTAAGAGTATAATCAGAGTCCCAGTGATCCTGCAGGGTGTCTGACATGGGCTGAACTATCAAAGAGGGTGGCACTTTGCGGTTGTGACTCAACAAGGATGAAGTGATGGCGGACTCTGTGCGGTGGAGTTTTGCACCTGGCTGAGGAACACCGCAGGTGGATCACAGAATTTTAACTCATCAGCCACTTTATTAGATACACCTGCTTGAATGCTTGTTAACACATGCAGTAAATCAGTCATTCGCATTGCAGCAATTTAATATATTTAGGCATCTGGGTTTAGTGAAGAAAAACCTGTAGTTAAAAGAAAGCGATATAACAGAGAAGAATGGGGATTTAAGTGACTCTACATGGTTGCTGGTTTGGTAAAATGATTGGGGTTGGTTGTGCGATGGTGTGAGATAAGTCCTCCTAGCATACTTCAAGCTATTAAGAGGCAATTGAGCATTGTTTAAAAACCATGGCCTATCTAAATATTGCTGCTGACCATATTCATCCATTTATGACCATCCATTTTTTTCCACAAAAGCAAGATCTCAGCCCATTGAAGCACCCGATGTGGTTGATCAAGAGCTTCACATTATGGATGATTTGAGGATGACAATTCTTCAGCAAGTGGACCAAAGCCTCAGAGGAAGGTTTCAGACATTGTGTTGAATGGATGTTACATTCAGCTCAGAAGACAGACCGGGATATTCAAGGCATAGCTTAATAAATAGGCTGCCGAGGGTACATTGTTTGTTTTGAGAAAAGACCTGCTATGCTGTAAACAACAGGTGGAAATTCTAACAGGTAATCCAAAATTTGCGAACCTTAGGGGCAGCTTGTTCAGAGAGAACGGCACATTAAAGGAACCCAAACAAAGCTGGGATTTTTGGCACTGTCTTTCAAAAGTTAAATCACTGCAGGCAAAAGTTAATTGGAGACACATATAGAAGAGTTGATGCAACTGGCTCTGCATGAGATAATGTGATGCGAGTCACTCACACAAAACCCTAGTTTAGCTTTAACCAAAACCTTTTGAACAGCGGCCTTTTCTTATACAAGCCTTTTGTATCAATATTATGAAAGCTGAAAGCTTTTGTCAGACAGACAAGCCTTGGCTATTATCCCTTCACGCCCTTTTCCCTTTTTAATAGGTAGATTATCACTGTCACTGACACAAAATAGGGCTTATCTACTGTTAGTTGAACCTGAATACTTTGACAAAAAATGGTAAAGAAAATTTTAAAAAATCAAGCACAGGTGAAAACTTCAGAAGCTGTATTTGTCAGGCCAGAGAGAATGCTGGGAGAAGGTTTTCCATCAACACCTTTGGGCCCCGGCTCCTCATTCCACTTCCAGCCCCCTGTGAGAGAGGAATCCGTAACGACTGTGGGCCTTAGCGTCGTTAACATTTCCCTGACATGTCGGCTGGCCTCTCTTGGAAACCGCCCGACATTTTCTCCGCTGTGCTGGAGTTGTTGTAGCAACTAGTGGCCCAGAAGTGAATGAAGCAGATGTGCGAGTCATCTATCACCTGACAGCTCCCACTCCCCCGACTGAGCAAGTCATCACAGTGACACGTCTGCCCCACCGGCCTCATCCATTATGATGGTACCCTACTATTAGAGGACAAACACTGCTCTACTTGCACACATTCAACTGCTTCCCAGTCCACAGGATGGGCCCTCAATTAAGTCTGAATAACTTTCCCCCACTGAAAGAATGTCTCTCTTTTGGCCCTGCACTGCACACATTGTGCTTGCCTCCTAAAAGCTGATTTAAAGCCATGATGACTACATAATAGTGGATAACATTTATCTTTATCTGATGATACAAGATGGTGCAAACAAGAACACAAGTTTATATTTCATCATCTTCATCATGAATTAAGTTGTTCCAATTTAAGGACAACTAATTTCATTTGTATGACAAATCTATAGAGTCCATCCCCTTAAATCATTTTTGAAAAGAATAAAAAAGATTTGTTTGAAAAGTCCAAAAAGTTTGTTGTCATTTGAAACATTTCTAAATTCAATTTTTCAAATAAAAAAGCAGGATTCTTTGAAAGCATAAAACGGAGAATCTTTGGTGTCATAACCTGATCTTCAGGTTATGTGATAAAATCTTTATCTAATTTGCAGAAGCCAGTAAGAACTGCTGGCAGGCCATGAAAACTCAGTTTTCCTTCACAGTTTCTCACACCTTTAAATTTTCCCCGATCACTTTTAAACAGTTCATTATAATTATACACTGCAAAAAAATTGAAATCTAAATAAGTCTTTTTTTCTTAAAATAAGTGCATTTGTTCTTGAATTGAGGAGGTAAGTGAGACACTTTGCCAATGGAGCAAGATAATTTACATATAAAATAAGACAAAACACTTGAATCACTGTCTTATTTCAAGTGCATTTTATCTAATTATCTTATTTTAAGAGTAAAAATACACATTCCGCATGCAAATCATCTTATTTGGACATGGCCTGTTCTCCCCGCTGCCCAGGAGCCAGCAGATTCTGCAACAGCTTCTTCCCCACTGCCATCAGACAGTGAAAAAACTCTAAATCAAGTCACAGACTCTGAATCAAACTGACCATATCAATGCGTTTTTTTTTTTGCACCATGCTTTTTCTCCAACGTTTACATTTGATCACTGTTGCACTTTAAGAAAATGGAAACGTCATGAGAGAAGAAAAAAAAGAAATTTCAAAAAATGACAATAAATTTTATCTAAGTCTAAGTCTAAGACATTTAAATTGAGAAAGCTTCCTAGAGGGGAAGCGAAACGTCTTCAAACCTTGGAAACCAAGTCCAGTGAATCGTTTTTTAAACTTTTACGGTAAGTCTAAGTCTATTTACCTACTTAAGGAAAAATGTACTTAATTTAAGAAATCTTAACTTTTTTCTAGATTATTTTTTTTTTGCAGTGTATCTAACATTTCAGACTCTTCCCTCAGTTAGACCTTCCAAACTAGAGCTTGTTGTTGTCATTGTGGCCAAGTAATAGAAATATATCATGTTAATTGGTAGGTAAAGTGTATAATTTTTAGTTTTGACAGCACCAAATACTAATCACTGATCAGGTCATATAATCTGACTTTAGCCTACAGTATTTTTAAGTTCATCTCTAGATTCCTTTGACTTGAAATTGATGATGTGCAAAGAGTCAATAAAGAAAATATGGTTTTGTTAGCGTAGTTCTGTTCCTGTATTCCATCAGTAGTAGTCATGAAATGCAGTAAACAAAGGTTTGAACACAAACAGATATAGATAGCCTCTATCTCGTACAATATATAGCAAGTGGTGGCAGTGACAGCTTGGGCCAAATGACATACAGTATACCAGCTTTTTTGTCACATGGGGCTTATAGACAGATCTTGATTTCCACACCTATCAACGCTTACAAATACTTAGATATAAATAAAACATTCATATAAAAATAGGCTTTTACAAATATATACTCTATTAACTATCATTTACCAATGGAAAATGTGCCCATGTTTTCACTCGACACATAAGTCCAGTAGAACCGGGTTGAAGCGAAAACAAAGTGTACAGCATATGGACTTCTACCTCAACAAGTGGGAGTTTCTAAACTAGCAGCAACTGAAGGAAGAAAAACTCACAAAAAAGGTAGATAAGTCGATGTGAGCAGCCTACAGTAGTTCCGGTTGGAAGAACATTATGCTGCGACGTGACTTTAAATCCAGTGTGTTGACTATAAACATATTTGTTACAAAGAAAGTGAAAAAAACTGTTGACATCTAGTTATTTTTCAAACCATACTGGACAAAATCAGTAGTTTTTTTTATAGAATAAGTTAATATTAATACGTCTCATTCTCTAAATACAGCATGTTAAATATTTCAAATGGCTATCTCTATTTTTTCTGTGCACATTGGGGAAGAGAACAGCAGTGTCCTACTCAGGATCACGTCCACCTTAATTCTTTTGATTCTTGTAAAATCCAAGCAGAGAGAAAGTCCATTTAGCTTAAAGTCTTAGATGCTTTTGCTTCAGTGACTGAATCCATGCTTCCTTTGTCCCATTTTCCAGGTTGAAGTTTTCCATAGCCAGTGTTTCATTAGATCATTGTTTTACCGTGTCTTAACAAAGAGACCAAGAAGAAGGGTGAAGAGGTTCTTGTGCAAAACAACTGTGGTACCCTATCTTCAACTTGTTGCAAACGCAGCACAGTAGTCGTTCGTTACTAAAGAAAAGACTGCGAATGCAGGTTTTAAACACAAAACTGTCCATTATACATACAAAAGCACATTCAAAACACATACAGACACACAGCCTCCAATAAATATTCTCATTTGCATGTGTATACCTCTGTCCTCTCGCTACAGGTGTTGCATTTGACATAGCAGCACCACAGAAACTTGCAGTTGCATTGCCATACTCGGGAGTACTGGTGTGTATTGTATCCCCTCCCGCAGCACATCAGGTCGCAGCCACTGATGTGCTGCATCATTGTCTTGTTGCACACCCTCCCCTGTGTCCCAAGGCTTCCCGTCACAGGGTCCGCCTCACAGTAATTGGGTGACTTGTCTATGTACACCAGGTCTGTGTCTAGCGGCTTCAGGTAGGAATGAGGCTTCTTGATTTTTAGGAATTTTGGACGCTTGTTACGGCTCGCTTTAAATGCTTCCACATGCACGGCATTGGCATATTTCTCCTTGAGAATGTAGCCAAGCTCACGGAACTTGGGAAGTGTAGTCCAACAGGTTTTGGTTGTACAGGAGCCTGAGACGCCGTGACACTTACATTCCAGCCGCATATTCTTCTCCAGAACCTAGACACAGAAAAAAAAAGAATCAAGGTGAAACATTGATAAATGTCGCAATCATCATTTTCAGTAATTCTTCTTTATTTCATTGTAGTGTCTCAAAAGAAACCAGGCTGCAGCCAAAGCAACCAATTCAACAATATTTCTTAACGGAATTAAACACAGCCCTACCACATTGCAGCGTGACACTAGATATACACAGAAGCCAAAATAATGTCTCAGATTTCATTTACTTTGTATGTGGTTACCACACACAACCCGCAAAAGTCAAGAATGACTGTTCAAGGCGCCGAGTGACTGGGATTACTGTTAAACCCTGTGCTGATGACAATGAAAAGTGCCACTGGAGACTTCTTTTTAAAGCAAGGTCAATTCCTTTTTTTCTCCCCCAGAATGCTGCATGTTTGGTAAATCATTCCTGAGAACATTTGCAGGAAATGAATGCCTGAATACTTGGCAAAAAAAAACCCTGAAACGGTAAATGCTAAATACAAATGTGAGAACAAGAACTTCCTCCTGGGTGAACCCCTTAATAAAAAAAAAAAAAAACTTGGCTTCAATTCCTTTAACCATCACTTGTCCTATAGCTTACACACTTGTGACAGCTATTGTCCGTACGTCTTCCGCCGGGAAGCTGTGAACGTCGCTCCTGCTTGGTGTCACTGCTTTTGATTAGCATAAATTAAGGAGTCTGGGTGACGGTGGTGGGTGGGTGGTTGGGTCTGGTCCCAAAACAGAGGCCCTATTTATTAGCAGAACGAAAGGGAAATAAGAGAAGCAGCTCGATGAGTGAATTCACAAGTGGAATCTTTTTTTTCTAGGGGGCAATTTAGATTTCCTGATAAGCCAATTTGAATTCAACATGCAAAAACACGCATCAGAAAGTGATCTGCTTTACAATCAGGCTTGAGGAGACTTTTCAGCCACTGCTTTAGACGTGCTAGTTGTGAGAATTAGGCTCCTTTGGCAGTGGCATCCTGAGAGAGGGTATCTGTTAACTTTGGTCAATGCTGTCTCTAACCCTGACTTTGGCACATCATACCTCACAGTCTAACTTTCAGACCCAGTGGAGTCTCTTTGTCACTCTGCAGTGTTCTGCAACCATGCATGCAGGAAAAACAGGCAAATGAAAACAATCAGGCAAGATTTCTCTGTGGTATTTTATCATATTAGCCTTGTTCCTGGTTTGTTTTTATGGCGTAATCCTCAATGTTTTCTTGCTTTGATGCTTTCTGCTGTGAATAAAAGGTGATTATATTCCTCTTTTTTCTTTTTAGCTAAATGTGACGGGATTCATAGCCTATAATTAAGCTTTTAGCTTAAGTCATACTCTAGATCAAGATACAGGAATCTTGTAAACTGCACTAGGTATAAAGATAGAGTTTATCTGTGTTAAAGGAAATGCTATTCTTTAAACAAAAAAGATCCATCATGACTGACAATCAAACCAAAAAGTAAACACCCCCAAGGTGCATGTGCAAACACATTTCACCTTATGTGGGTTTATAAGATTAGTGAGACTGTTGGTTGCAGATTGTCATAACTGTAACTGAAGACTGTCCCAGTGGTGTAAAACATGGGGCAGATAGAGTTAATGCCTTTTTGTACAGTGTCAGTCTTTTTTCAGTCCATGGATCTGGGCTGTAATCAAACCCTGCCACAGTTCTTTCCCTAAAAGCAGCTCTTTATTCTACTTCTTGTTAAAACTGGGGCCCTTCTTCACAGGTCTTTGAATAGCCGAGTAATGACAGAGACACTTAGCACTTCCTTAGATCAGCCCCAAGCTACTTACCAATGGTCTCCACCATTTGGATATATTTTTAAAAACGCTTTTTTTCTTCTTCTGTGTTATATTGATGGCGAAGTTCTTTGTAACAGCTACACTGCAACAGTAGACGACGATAATGACCTCAACATTACCTACATTGTGATTCAAAAAAAGATCATGACTATAGTTAAAGAAGTAGTAGGTCTATTAAAATCTAGTCTATTAGAATCTATTTACTAATTTATCTTAATGTTTAACTTCTCCTGCTTAAGTTTGAGGTATAATGGAAGCAGAGTTACCACAAAGTGAGACAGCTGTGGCTTATAACGAAGAGAGAGAATCTGTCTAGCGCAAAAAATCAGAGATAGCATCTGCAAACTGGCTTATATTTGTAAAACAATATTAATTTTACACACATAGGCCACATATATAGTGTAAAAAAATACACTTTGGAAAGGCTTTTCAAAAATTCCACTTTCTCAAGTGGAGCTCAAAACACAAGAATTGTCAAATCCAGGCTTTGCCACTGACATTTGCTAATTAAAAATACATAAAAGAAAACATGTGGTTGTTTCTCACACAAAAGCAACACTGTAGACATGTGGCTATTGAGCGTCTATGTCATTGCTTCCAACATTTTGTCTACTAGTAAGCACAAAAGTCTTTAGAAAGCTCCACTTTTAGAGGATATTTGAAAAATCTTTGTTTTCCCCCAACCCAAACTTGATGTACTGGCAGGAGGTGGAAATTAAGGAAAATACTCTTTTTTGCAAGATTTCAATATTTATCTGGAAATGTCCTATGACATGTCGAACAATTAGATTTTTTTTCCCTTTAAAGCTTAATAAAAGTACACCTTTGTTCCTTACCTTGCGTCCCACCTCATTATTATGAAGGTTCATTAGGGTCCTTGCACTCTGCTTGACTTCCCGAGAATCAATGAAAACTTTGGAGAAGCCCAGTCCGTAGCGGATATCTGCCGAGCAGCCTCCCCACTTCCATCCTTGTCCTTTGCTGTAGAAACCCTGCTTCTCCTTGTCGCAGCTGCAGTCACTCAGGTTGCCCTGCGTGCAAGCGGTGGTAATGGCATGGGCCACTCCAGCTGCAATGATGGCATAGGTGAATGCAGCTTCTTTGCTGCCTAGGAGGGGAGCAGAAAAGAAGGTGATTAATAATCTTAGAAATATTAAATTGAACAGTGTGTCTCAGTTACAGTGAAAAGGTAAAAGGGGGGGAGATCAATTATTAACCAGCTATGTGCTTACATCATAGTCTCCCTGACATATCACTCAAGAGCTGCAGTGTTTTGAAACCTGACCTGGAAACTGTCCTGCCCATGAACCAATATGTCTGCTAGCGGTATTGTCAACAAAGCTGCATGAATAAGAGGGCTGTCGGCAAGGAAGGGCTATTGATCCACTTGGAAGCTGTTACAATATGTGTACACTCGCAAGGTATCTTCACTTTGCTGTTATCTGTCCCCAATTCCAGCTAACAAATCATTTACACATACGGAAATATTGGCAAAATAAGTAAAGGTTTGACAGAAAGTCTGACATGAGTAACAAGGACAGAGCTGGCAGAAAAGTGTTCAATATGCCAGTGATACCCCCCTTTTTAATATCCTAGTCAAAAGAAAGCTAATTATGTTATCAAAGAACCATAAAACCCTGTCTCATAATCAAAACCATGTTAAAATAACATGTGATGGCTTAAAAGTGTTTATTGTTAAATATAATAAGCAAGAAGAGACTTTTAGCTTTAATTTTCCAATCTGTGATTTATCAAAATGCAAACAGGAAACTGGTGATTACGACATCCATCATATCTGCATGTAAATAAACTCCTCTTGTCACTGTTTGCTCTAAACAAACATCATACATTCTTTGTGCTTCCTCCTGCCACGCCACTCACTATGCTTAGCTGCCATGCTTCTGATAAACATCTTGGAAGTGTGCCCTTGCCATTGAATAAAGAAAGAAAAAAAAAACTAATATTGAGGCATCAGTTATGTGGACGTTTTTATAGACTAAATGGGCAAAGTGCCAAATAAGTGGGTGTGTCAGCGCAGACTCCACCGTTGGTAATTTTTTCCCCTTCAGTTGTAAGTGCATGAGTTCACATCAAAATGAAGGCTACATGACCTTGTAATGAGAGATGGGAGATCTGAAATCCAAGCCCTGCACAGGTTTAAGGAGAAGAGCTAGTTTACTATATCAATCATGAACTTTTGATCTAACACAGATTAGACAGGCTCTGGGTGGATTCACCACTTCCAACAGTTACTGCCCCCAGATTTTACCCACAAAATCTCATTTTGTCCCTTCATGGTTCCATTTTGTACCCTTGTACAAAACATATACTGCTCAAAAAATTTAAGGAAACTCTTAAATAACACATCCCAGATCAGAGTAAATAAAATATTCTCATTGAATGCTTTGTCCTGTACAAAGTTGTATGGGCTGGACATAAAATCACACAAAAACATCAATGGAAATCAAATGCATTAACCAATGGAGGCCTTGATATGGAGTCTCACACAAAATTAAAGTGGAAAAACACACTACAGGCTGATCCAACTTTGATGTAAACTCTTTAAAGCAGGTCAAAATTAGGCTCAGTATTGTGTGCTGGCTCCATGTGACTGTAATGACCTCCCTACAACGCATGGGCATGCTCCTTATGAGTCGGTGGATGGTCTCCTTAGGGATCTCCTCCCAGACCCAGACAGTCTGGGGTTTATCAAGACGTGCTGCCCCAAATCAAATCAATCAATCAAATTCATGTCTGGGGAAAGGGCGGGCCAGTCCATAGTCTCAATGCCTTCCTTAAAGGAACTGCTGATACACTCCAGCCACATAAGGTCCAGCACAGTCCTGCATCCTAGGAACCCAGGGCCAATGGCACCAGCATATGGTCTCAGAACGGTCTGAGGATCTCATCTCGGCACCTGATGCAGTCACGCGCACCATTACTGACCCACTGCCAAATTAGTTATGCTGAAGGATGTTGCAGGCACGGAATCGCTATCCATGGTCTCTCCAGACTCTGTCAAATCTGCCACATGTGCTCAGTGTGAACCTTTTTTCATCTGTGAAGAGCAAAGTGGCCAATTTGCCAATCCTGGTGTTCTCGGGCAAATGCCAAGCGTCCTAGACTGTCTTAGGCTGTGAGCACAACTCCCATCTGTGAACGTCTTGCCCTCATATCATCCTCATTTGCAGGACTCTGGCAGTGCTCCTCCTGTTCCTCCTTGTATGAAGGCAGAGGTAGTGTTCATGTTACTGGTTGTTGCCCTCCTACAGCCTCATCCATGTCTCCTGGTGTACTGGCCTTTCTCCGGATAGCATCTCCAGCTTCTCGACACTAGACTTACAGACACAGCAAACCTTGCCACAGCTTGCGTTGATGTGCTATCCTGGATTAGCTGCATTACCTGACCCACTGGTGTGGTTTGTAGAGTCCCTCTCATGCTACCACTGGTGTCAAAGCACCACCAACATTCAGAATTAACCAAAACTTAAGGGAGACAGCAAAGGTACAGAGAAGAAGTTCATGGTCCCCACCTGCAGAACCACTCCTTTATTGAGTGGGTCTTGCCATTTGGCAATAATTTCTCCCTGTTGTTATTCCATTTGCACAACAGCATGTGGAATTGATTGTCTGTCAGTGTTGCTTCCTAATTGAACAGTTTGATTTCACAGAAGGTCGATTTAGTTGAAGTTATATTGTGTCGTTTACGTGTTCCCCTTATATTTTTGAGCAGTGTATTATTCAACCAGGGTCAGAACCATATATATGAAAAATCATATTAAAGCTTAAATCTCAAGTATGATTTCATACTGATGAAATCAGTATGGATTTCATCTATATTGATTTCATCAATTGTCTTAACCCACATCTCAGTCCAGAGGATTGCATTTCTGAAATCTTATATTATACAATTTTTTTGGACACAATCCCCATTTTGCCAGTTGGTCAGAGTGAAAAGATAAACACTATAACCCCAGATTGAATTGAAATACTTCTAAGTGACCTTCTGTGGGTAGATGCACTGTATGGAGTCATAAAACCGCAGTACTTTTATGGTGGGCTATGATTAAAATCAATTAAAATAATTGGTTGTCAAACCTGGAGTCAAACATGCCCTTTGTATTCATCAACTGGTGCAAGGTAGGTACAAAATATCCTGTGCTAGACAAGACCATTTCAAAGTTAAAAACTAAGGTACAAAAAGACTAAAACTTTCCAATCTACAAGGTGCTCCACCATTATGTCACTTTGCTTATCTTTCCCTCTCTTTTAGGAACAACTGTGAGCAGCCTAACTCCCCTTAGTCTGGGTATCAACAGCCATCTGTTTGAAACCATTCACTTCCTATGCTAATCTGACCAGTGAGACCAATCTATTTGGTATGGCTGTCCAGGCCATGGACTTGAAATAATATAAATACCCACCCCTGATTGGCTAAAAAAAAGCAACAACAAAAAAAAAAACACTGCAAATCTCTCCGGCCACAATGCAAATTGTGAAATAGCACCTTTTTCATTTTATTACAAAAGAATAAAGAGATAATCCTTTTTTCTGCCGCAGCAGAAGGCAACAATGCCTCCAACAGCTGGTCCAAGCTGCCAACAATTGTGTTTAGTATTTGTGATTTTCTTATGTAAATATATTAATCTGAAGAAGAGATAGGAAAATATCTCAAAAATATCTCAGTACTTAAAAAAAAAAGTTTTTTTCAAATTCACCTCTGATGCTACTGAACTGGGAGTTTATCCCTCTCCGCAGTAGGAGTGCATACTTGGAATCATATCTATCTCTCATTTAGTACTTGCTTTCCTTTGAGCTGTAACTGTAATTTATACCCGTGGTAAGCTCTGCATCCTTACAGTGAGAACTACGGCACCCATCACCAGACAGGATAAAGACCAGCAAAAAGTGCCTCTAGAGACTCTGGCCGGATGAAAAGAAAGGCTGCCAACATTCAGAAGAGCTTTGTTCCAATCCTGGCTTCAAAATACCTTTTATACATGTTCAGAAGGTCCCCCCCTCAGAGAAAAGTCATGGCTAAATCTAGGCCTAGTGTAAGTGACACTAGGTCCTTATGGGATGCTTGCAGGTGCAGTGGCGGTTCTAGACCAAATGTACAAGGGGGCCAGTAGGGGCCCAGAGTGTTTTCATGGGGGCACAGAAAAGCATGAAATAAGTATTATTTCTTGAGTACAGGGGCCATAACAGGGGCCAGGACATTCAATTCAGCTTATTTATAAAGCACCAATTCACAACACATGTCATCTCAAGGCACTTTACAGTTCAGCAGATCATACAGTCAAATTGATTCAAAGTTTTCTATCTAAGGAAAACCTGTTGATTGCTTCGACTCATCGACTCGAATGCAATCCCTCACACTAAGCATACTTGTAGTGACAGTGGAGAGGAAAAACTCCCTTTTAACAGGAAGAAACCTCCAGCAGAACCAGGCTCAGTGTGAGTGGCCATCTGCAGAGGCCGACTGGGGTTCGACTGGGAGACAGATTTGCAGGGGCACTGGCCCCCGTTTGCTGCCTGTCTAGAACCGCCCATGTGCAGGTGCAAACCTTATTTGTGTCATTTTAAAAGAGGAAAAGTTTAAAGTAGGCTTTAAATTTGGGTAAATAAACAATGTTTCAGTTTTTTTTATCAAGAGAACAAGTCATAAATCATTTATATGAGTCCGGATTTTGAAGTTCACTTCTGTCTTTAGCAAATATTGATCCTTTTTATAATCTAAGCCATAACAGGGCAAAAGGTAAATAATTGGATTCATCAAAAATCAACCCCAGAATGAGCTCACAATATTATAAAACAGGTTTATAACTTTTTATATAGATATAACAAACGTCAACAGATAGCAACATACCCACTTTCAACTCTTTTCCGAAGACGGTCCTCTCTCCAAGCGCAGAGCAGTTCCAGCGCCCGTTTTTGAACTGAAACTGACACTCGTTGATGCCCATTTGGGCTCCCTCTCCGATGACGATAATGGCATCGGGGCGACTCTGGCAGATAATCCGCTGTCTGGGAGCCAAACCAGGGATCTTGTTACAGATTATACTCGCACCAAGGGCCACCACCGATGAAAAGCCACTGGGAATAAAAAGATGGATAGAACTGAGAGTCTACTCGAATCATTTAATATTATCATATCTGAATCTAAATCATCAAATAAGTCAATTATCTATTATTATAGATAAATTGTTGAGTTTTATTTTGATATTTAATGTGATTACAAGATATTTAGATATTTCACAGAATCATCTTGAAATTTGAATCAGCTGAAAATAAAAAGAACTAATATATTTGGCAAAGACATAACACCCTGGAATCTGTCTTTCATGCCTTTTAGTGGGTGATCAGAAATTAAATAAACGCTCCTCACCCAATTTTGAGGTAAACAATCCCTAAGCAAAGCAAAACTCTTAAAATCCAGCGTCGTGTTCTCCGGCTCATTGCGGCCCAGCTTTCAGTTTCTGCAGAGCTGATTTTAATAACTCGCCTCGCTCCTGTTCTCCGCACGACCACAGCTCAGGTAACTCCAGGGGGAAGTCCAAAAGCAAGAAAAGCATCAAAAACAGCAGAAGCCCGGGGGACTTTTTACAAACCGAGAGGGACAACATCCAAACTCCCCTGTCGAGGCCCCCGTTGGATTGGCCTTCTTGTCATTGCGAGGGTGACACAGGTAACCCTTGGGGAGGGGGGGTGAGCAAGTGCGATTATCTCTTTCTCACAGTTCCACTGCTACCCGCAGGTCTTGGTTATATATCTGCCTCATCTATCTGGGGCGTGTTCTCAGGAGACAAGGGGCCCCGCTGAAGAATCCCGCCTGGGCTGAATCTCAGTGCACACACACACTCCCTCTCTCTACTTTTTTTTTGTACTTTTGCACACTCCTCTGCGAAGAATTCACCTTGACTGATTGGAACTGCAATTAATTTGCTTTATTGTGTGAGTCAGGGTGTCATTTGCATGTGTTTGTTTCACCGCAGCTAACAAAACGTTTCCACACCTGCCAAGAAAAACGAAGCAAAAGCCAACAATAATTACTCCTTTAATTACTGAATATGATCTTCAAGTACAGACTGAAAAATGACCTCTGTTTTCTCTTGAGGTAAGCATGCAATTTAGGCTATGTAAAAATTTAAGTTTTTATCACAAAAGTATTTGATTTGTTGTTTAAGTAGAAGTTTTTTTTTATTTGTACAATAATTGCGCATTGATTTCTCCGCTGATGTCCATCTATTAACTGGTGGTGCGTCTCGCTTCCACGCTTTTTTAAAACCCTTAAACCTTTACAATGGTGACATCTGGTGGCAGAATAAAGGAACTGCAAGCGAAAGTAAAATAATAGCGTTGTCCCAACGCGTTTTCCGTAGCTTCTGATCTGACTTCGTTCCCAGTTTAATATTTTTACATCTTAAAGCTCTGCAGGGAGTTAAAACTGACTCAATAATGGATCTCCAACCTCCGCACCTCATCGGTGACTGTCTTATTCATATTTTCACCTTTCTGACCGAAGATGACTTAATCAACGCTTCTGTCGTTTGTAAGGTAAGATGTCTGTTTTGCGGAAGTGGTCGAAAAGCATCAACTTATGAAATAATAAGTTTGATTTAAATGTTAAACTTTTTTTCAGGAGTGGTATGAGGCTGCAGAGACACCTTGGTTGTGGAGGTGAGTTGTCATGTAAAACATTTTTATTAAAGTGCTATATCGCAACTTTGCTTTTATCTGATGTTTGATAATAGAAATAAACATCCTGTTTCTAAATATTGTCATCCTACTGCAACAGCACTTTTTCTATCTGTTGATAAACGACACAAACAGATTCTCCTCTCGGTGTTAAAAGGGAGTTTAAAAAGAGTTTTTTAATCTCAATGGGATTTTATACCTGATTAAATAAAGGTAGATAAAAAAATAAAAAAATAGGTTTTATGAAATCTGTGTGTTTTTTTTTAAGAATTTCAATTAATAGTTTGGATTGTCATGCAAGCCCAAAACTTATTTAAAAATATTTAGGATTGCAAGGAAACCCATCCTAAATGTCAATACCAAAGGAAAAATATGAACATCTGATTATAGGAGAGCTTATAGCAATAATGCAAATAAAGATTTTTCCATTAATTATTAGAATCTGGAACATTTTATTTCAGCATTGTGTCTAATTTCTTCCACTTAAGTTATGGAACTTAATTACCTGAGAAAATGATAAGCTTGCCCATATTCCTTATCTGTTCTCATTAATAGAAATTAAGTACTGAAAGTTAAAGTGTTGTTGTTTAGATGCCCCCTTGCAAATGTCAGGTGATATTTTACTTCAACATACTGAAAACTTCAATGTATTTTTATTGACACTTGCAGTAGACCTAGTTGTTAAAGTATTATACATGTTTTTTAAACTTTCTCTCGTGCGCTTCCCTCAGGAGGATGTGTCTGCAGCGCTGGAGTTTCTGTAACCTTGCTGCCTTGGGAAGTGACGACGCCAATCACTCTTGGAAGCGATACTACAAGCAGCGAAGCCACCTGGAGAACCACATGACACAAGGGAAGTCGGGAGATTACACATGCAAAAGCCTGAGGGGCCACACAGGTAAGCGTCCTCTGCACATCAGAAGTATTCCTCAGGTTTTCATCATGTCTCTCCTCTATAACCTGTGTGTGAACATCCTGTCCTTCAGGCCGGGTGGTGGGCCTGGTGTACCTGCAGGCCAATTCAAGCCTGCTGCCAGACCTCTCTAAGAGCAGTGCAGTTGTCTGCAGTGCTTCCACTGATGGGACCCTTCGAGCATGGAGCGTCCAAAATGTCAGTGCAGCGCTTTTTAGTCCTATCAGTCATACATACATCAATCAGGCAAAGCATCATGACCGTCGTGACTTTTGCTGCTCCTTACTCTGCAAACTGCTGTACACGTTTGAGCTACAGCACCTGGTCTGTTGGATGGAAAAGCCTTTGATCAGACATGCATGCACATGCATCATTTTACCTCCCTGGAAACCTGTTGATATATATGAGTTGTTCCCACTGTGGGTCAGCAACATCCCACAGGATATGCTGTTTTAGAGACTTTTTCACCCAGTCGACAAATCATAACAATTCAGTGCTTCAATGCTTTCAATTTGATCAAATCCTCACACCTGCCAGTTTTTCCTGTTTTTAGCACAGAGGTAGCCAAAATGTTCTGTACTCTGGATATTTCTTTGCTCCAATATGGCTGAAACATTTCTGCAGAGGGCTCCCTACGGACAACTCATTTGGTTTGGGTGTGTTGAACCAAGGGGAGCCTTGAAGACATGCAGGATGGTAGCTTTTGGGGACTGATAGAGTTGGCCAACTCCTGTTAAAGATAAAAAAACGTTGCTAGCTGCCTTACATGTCCCACCCATTTAGAGGTGTTATGGACTTGATCCGTCATGATCTTTGCCTGATAGCTGTAATAAAAGTGACCTTTGAAGATGTTTTTAGAATTTGAATGTTTCTAAAATTAACTTTTTTTATTGATGCATTTATGTCATCCATTTCTACTGCTTGGGATTATTGATAATAGAAAAAAACAATTTAAATACTATAATAAACATTCTTTATAGCAAAAGGGGATAGGGTGTTTGGTAGGATTTTCATTTAAATTAGTTTGATTGTTTTTCTGTAGGTATGCTTTGAATTAGCTGTTTGGAAAACAATTTTTTGCCCTATATGTTGCTCCATATTTAAAAGTGGCTGTTGATATTTCATATTTGGGTATAAACAGGTGTGTTTATGTTTCTCAGGGTGAGAAATTGTGGTGTAGTCCTGTGCAGAACCCTTTAACAGGGATTATAGCGGACGAGAAGAAGGAAGTTATTATCACTTCGGACTCTACTGGCCTCATTAAGAGCTGTCAGGGCCAGACTGGCCAGGAGCTGGCTTCTTTCTCTACAGAGTCTTCACACTGCAAACTACTGCAGTTCAATATCAACAATGATTGGTTCCTGATTGTGAGTAGCCTAAAAACCTCCTGAAGGCCTCTTGTGTTTTTTTTCCTCTTGTCTAACCTTATCTTATTTTCCAGGTTGGAACCCGCGGGGGGTCGATTTGCACTCTGGCTGATTTGACTTTAACTAAAAAGTCAAGTCTAATGGTGTGTGACCCTTTTAGAGCTGACGTACTCCTAGTTTCACCTGATAAGAAGTGGATTGTAGCTGGAACCACAGAAAATGTCGATTTAAGCCTAAAGGTATTTGTGGTTGTCTCTCACTGAATACCTCTGTGTGTGCTTTTTTCCTGCAGTCTGTTACAGCAATATCTCCGTGCCAATAATGCCTAAAGGAATATTGCTTGGAAGTATTGATACATTCTTTATACACTACACCTTACTTTTTTGTTTTGGCAGGTGATTTACAGTGAAAGTTTGACCTCACCGTCTGAAGACGACGATCCTCTGTGCCAGACTGTGCCAGTCCGTGGCTGCCAAGCTGCTGTCTTCATACCCACCCAGCCAGCCAGACTGGCCATCATCCACCACACTGAGCTTAGAGGCAACAAAGCTCTCACTGTCTTCGATGTCAGCATAAAAAAGATGAAGTACAAGACGGAGATCCAAGGTGAGGCCTGATATGTAGGACCAAAATGCTTTAGCTCTGTACACAAATCATTGGGAAACTAAAAGTCAGTTGGTGAGTCATCCAGGAGAAATGTCTGTTTGGAAATGTTCCTGGCACTAGTACTTTATTTAGCTTACTCTCAAGGTATGCAGGAGATTTTTATTACACATTCAGCGGATTTAATAATAACAACGTGCAGTGCCAGTGAGGAGATTACCTACTCCTCGTCATCAGCATAAATATCTTGCTTTATATAACAGTGGAACAACTGAACAAAAAAAAGGATTTTTTTTATTTTTATTATTTTGTAAATATTTTAGTTTAATCCACACAGTGTAGAAAATGAACATATAGAATGGATTGCATAGAGAATTATTTTATAATCTTTGGAAAACATTTAGCTTAGCAGGTGTCACTTATCACATATGCTTTTTATCAGCAAACAGAGTATTTGGATATTTATTCACACTTCATATTGGCACTGGTGGAGCTCCTTAGCTTTCCTGGCAGGGATCTGGCTTTTAATTGCATCCCATAAGTTTTCCAGTTTCCAGAAATCAACATTTAGCCTGTTGTATGCAATCTAAAACCCATTTTAATGTTAGTCTGGGATAACTGAGGTGCTGGAATGCCCTAGGTTCCCCAAAATGAGCGGAGCTAGAAGGAGGGGACACTCGTTGGCCACCCATACCAGATGATGTGTTGTTCCTAGAAAAATATATATCACTATCTCCATAATTTTGAAATAAGATGGGGCGTACTGTGCACGACCCTAAAAAAAAGCCAAAAAAACTAAGGAGTTTTTTTGGCTTGATTATCTGATTTAGTGCGTTAATTATTGCTTTTCTTTAACATTTTAAACTCTTGATTTACTAGGATTATTTTTTAATGTATTAAAACTAGGGCTGGGCAATAAATTGCATTTGCAATTTAATCTAAGAAAATGCAATTTTCAAATCTGAGAGGTGCTTAATTCTGGTCACATTACATTTCACAATACTATGGGACAAATCTTTTCCTATTCCATATTTCTTATGGGGTTTGCTTCCACGAAAAAGGAAATAAACTTCCAGCTAGCGTACAGATCTATGCACTATGCATGCAAGTATCATTAACAAGCTTTCAAGGGAATAAAAAAAAAACAAAACCCTGGACTAAAACATCTACATGCTTCGGGTTAGTGCAAAAGAAAATCAAAATAAAATCACAATTATGGTTGAAAATAATCGCAATTTTGATTTTTGGCAAAATGTTCAGCCCTAATTAAAACTGTAAAAACCTGAAATAAGCATGCACTGTATTGCCATAAGGGCAATTCTTCCATTTAAATACTAGGACCTCAGGTGTTCTAATCCCTTCCAGCCCCACAGGGTTATAAATTACACACCTTGATGCCTGATCAACAAACATTTAAGAAGGAATAAGTCAGTCTCAGGGGCTCAGCAGATTCCAGTTTGGTATCATGATAGGATGTCATCTGTGAAATGGAGGTAGTGGGGAAATCTCATTTTAAATATTTTAAAGTAAAACTTGTGCTGGTTATATGACAGAGTGGACACATTTGGGAAACATACACTATATTGCCAAAAGTATTTGCTCACCTGCCTTGACTCACATATGAGCTTAAGTGACATCCCGTTCCTAATCCATAGGGTTCAATATGACGTCGGTCAACCCTTTGCAGCTAGAACAGCTTCAACTCTTCTGGGAAGGCTGTCCACAAGGTTTAGGAGTGTGTTTATGGGAATTTTTGACCATTCTTCCAGAAGCGCATTTGTGAGGTCGCACACTGATGTTGGACGAGAAGGCCTGGCTCTCAGTCTCCGCTCTAATTCATCCCAAAGGTGTTCTATCGGGTTGAGGTCAGGACTCTGTGCAGGCCAGTCAAGTTCATCCACACCAGACTCTGTCATCCATGTCTTTATGGACCTTGCTTTGTGCACTGGTGCACAGTCATGTTGGAAGAGGAAGGGGCCAGCTCCAAACTGTTCCCACAAAGTTGGGAGCATGGAATTGTCCAAAATGTCTTGGTATGCTGAAGCATTCAGAGTTCCTTTCACTGGAACTAAGGGGCCAAGCCCAGCTCCTGAAAAACAACCTCACACCATAATCCCCCCTCCACCAAACTTTACACTTGGCACAATGCAGTCAGACAAGTACCGTTCTCCTGGCAACCGCCAAACCCAGACCCGTCCATCAGATTGCCAGATGGAGAAGCGCGATTCGTCACTCCAGAGAACGCGTCTCCACTGCTCTAGAGTCCAGTGGCGGCGTGCTTTACACCACCGCATCCGACGCTTTGCATTGCACTTGGTGATGTATGGCTTGGATGCAGCTGCTCGACCATGGAAACCCATTCCATGAAGCTCTCTGCGCACTGTTCTTGAGCTAATCTGAAGGCCACATGAAGTTTGGAGGTCTGTAGTGATTGACTCTGCAGAAAGTTGGCGACCTCTTCGCACTATGCGCGTCAGCATCCGCTGACCCCGCTCCGTCAGTTTACGTGGCCTACCACTTCGTGGCTGAGTTGCTGTCGTTCCCAAACACTTCCATTTTCTTATAATACAGCTGACAGTTGACTGTGGAATATTTAGGAGCGAGGAAATTTCACGACTGGATTTGTTGCACAGGTGGCATCCTATCACAGTTCCACGCTGGAATTCACTGAGCTCCTGAGAGCGACCCATTCTTTCACAAATGTTTGTAAAAACAGTCTGCATGCCTAGGTGCTTGAATTTATACACCTGTGGCCATGGAAGTGATTGGAACACCTGATTCCAATAATTTGGATGGGTGAGCAAATACTTTTGGCAATATAGTGTAGCTACTCAGCCACGAAGGTAGTTTGCGTAAAATCCCAGAAGAAGGTCTGAGAGTGCTGAGGTGCACAGTGCAGATTTTACAGACTTTATTTAGGTTCAGTAGCTACAGATATCCACACTTCCTGTAGCCTTTAGATTAGCAGGTGGAAGGCTTAGTGGAATGGCTTTAAATGGCCCATCAGCTAGGGCTGGGCGATATGGAAAAAAAACTATATCACGATATGGATTATTTTATATCACGATAACGATATATATCACGATATACCACAACTGATGTTGCATTTTATGTTTTCATAGTCCGTCAGATGGACAGGGTTGAAAAAAATCTTTCATCGCCTATTTTTTACCCATCATCTTGTTTCCTAATATGAGAATCCCAACCCCAAACCAAGAACACCAGTTATGCAATTTGCGTCCATGACAGTGAACAGTATAGAATCTTGGCTATTGCGCTGCAGTAATTAATCATTTAATATTCGTTTGTTATTGACATTTTATAAAATTCCAAGGCAAGGTTTTTCTCTTGTCTTTCATTTACCTTGTTTTCCACTAGGAGGCGCCTCGCCTATTTAAGAAGAAATGTGTCTGCACTGGTAATTATATGGTCCCGAAAGCTGTCTTTCTCGACTATGTAAACGGGGGCCATGCCTTTACAGATATAGCGTGAAATAGCACCTGTGATCTGCTTGAGTCGCTGAGACGTCTTCTCATATTGTGATCCTTGGGCGAATGCTTCCTTAAGCTTCGGCTGTGAGAATTTCTTTCCAGTGCTTCCTGTATTTTCATCCCTTGTTTGGTTTGATCGGAGTGGTTGTAGTTTCCCGTGTTCTTGTTCATGATTTTTCTTCAGGTGGTAAAAGAGGTCGGAGGTATTTGCATCAGCCGCTGGAACGGCTTTGCTGCACAGTTTACATATCGGCTGCGTTTGTTCTTTATCAGATGGCTGAAATCCGAAATATAACCAAAAAACCGAGCTGCCTCCCCTTTTGGGCAAAAGTGGTGTTTGTTGTGTCTGTGACCTGGCAACCGTTTCGGACTCTGTAACCGCTGCTGTGGTAACATCTTCTTGGGTGTCCATCATTCATTTTTTTTCAAGCCAGAAAGAAATTTTGCGGGCTCTCTCCGTTAGTAATGTTGCAAACGTATGGTGCAAAGCCGCGTGACGTAAAGCGGTGTAGTGTCGCAAAACCACGTTCTCTACACATTATCTTTTTATTCTCTTTTTTTTCGTTATATACACTTAGAGTTTGCATAGCAAAAACGCAAAATGTTATATTAACAAATTATATTAAAATGTATATTAGCAGTAATAATTATAATAAAAAAGTTTATCACGATAGAAAAAATAGAGGAGAAAGGTCACGATAGACATGTTTCTCTCGTCCTCACGATATATATCGCCATATCGCCCAGCTCTACCATCAGCTCTACTGAAGCTATATCTCAACAGGTTTACATGCTAAGCCTTGAGAGCAGTAATGTGAAATACGCCGCTGTGAAGACTTGGCCTCTGGAGTTAGGATTCACACCTCCCTAACAGACAATCCAAGGACTGAGTTCAGGTTTTGCATTTACTAGACCGACAACGCTTTACTGACTGCACCGTGTCGAGAGGAAAGTTTAGTGCTGAGAGTCTGATGTGGGCTCAAGCTCAGCACCATCACAGTTCAGGAAATTGTTTATGCTTAGAATGCCAATACTTGGAAAACAGAACAATGCTCTCAACTTTTTGTCAGATGTCCTCCTGATCAAAAATGACTGTACAGCTGTGCAAAAATTCGTTTTCATAATACACAAACGAGTGTGGATTGGAAAAACTTGACCCTTCTTCGCCGAGTTCTTGACTAAAGAAAATGTCTTTGTGATGTGATTAGAAACAGTAAGCTAGGCCTGTTTCCTCCTAAAACAGTCTGATATCATAAAAGGTTAACATTCCTCCAAAAAGCGTGGGAAAGTGTTCCCTGAATATCTGTTAGAGCTGCAAAGGATGAGCCCTTATTATGTTTATCCCTTTTGATTAAGGTTTATGTCATTTCAGTTTGTCACCCTTTTTAACTGAGTAGTCAAAATAAATAAAATTTCAAAAGTATCAAGTGTTATTTTCAAAAATTAAAAAAAATGTCTCCAATCTACTCACTTTGGGTTCAATTAGGTTCGTAAGGAGATTGGCAGAGGTAAATCACTAAGTGAAAGATTATTCCAACCAAAATAAGACACTGACAACCATTAGAATTGAATAACTGAAAACCTGTATTTCAAAATGCTGAACTAGAACATTGGCACAACACAGTTTGTTCACTTCCACATTCATTCAATTCAACAATACCATCCTCTATCAGAGTCCACAAGTGCACTAAAAAAAAATACTGTCCATTTCAGCTGAGTACACCGTCTTCCACTCTTTGGTAGGTATTTAATGCAAGTTTTAATATTCCTGATGCATCAGTTTGGTTTGTGGTATCAGATCTGACCCAAAAGTAACAAAAAAAAAATAAAAATAAATGATTTGAGATCTCAAAAAAACAAAAATAGAAATCCTCAGAGCAGATTGGGAATCTGTTTCTTCCCTACCACCCTCCAGAGAAACAGGTGGCCTTCACAATGGATGCATCCTGCAGCAGCATCTCCAGTGGTTCCTAGTTCGGTCCGTGGATGGAACCCCTCAGGTTGTGGCAGCAGGTGCAGGGACTATATGTATATATAAAACCAGCCTGCACACAATTGTGCAAACCAATTACTTCAACTGGAAAACAATCATGTAATCATCCTAAATTAAATTGTTTTAATCACATTGTACAGAAAACAAAACAAAATAAATACAGAAAATAAAATAAAATTATCAGTTCCAACTTGTCTTTTACTGTATATGCAGCTATTAAGGCCTGTAATAAGTATTCTTATCTTTCAAAGTAATCTAGGAGACCTGCAAAAGGGTAAGTTACATTATGACCTACAGCAGCACCACACATGGTGCAGCTAGCTTAAACCTCACACAAAAGTACATGTTTTTTTTTAGAAGAGCACATGTGGTGAGTTAGCTTACTTCTTACCATGCCAATGCACCTAATAAACCATGAACAGCAATTGTAGTCATATTTCTAACAAAAGCTCATAACCTGACTGGTTTTACATAGCAAAAAACACTTGTTTCACAAGACTCACCAGGATTCTTCAACAACAACAAAAAAAACTCCTCAGCTCAACGGATTTCAGGACTGAACTCCTACAACATCTGGTGCCTCTAAAATACAAATATAATCATCAATATGACATTTAACAAGGCCTTTCACGCATTTAACCCAGGGCGAATGTTTTAAAATATTACCTTGCTCTATGCAGATAGATGCCATGGAAGAAAGTGCGTTTGGTCTGAGCAGGGAGGAGCTGTGAGCAGCGCAACTGTGCAGGTGCGGTGCATTCACAGTGCGTGGGAAATCTTAGTACTTAACTTCATTACCCCCTTTTCTTACGATTTGAAAAAACATACATGTACACTGATGACAAAATAACCATGGGTTACATTCTCCCCCTCTAGACCGCATGAGTCCCTTCATGCTCATTGAACCAACTGGAACCTTGTTGAGGTGACAAGACTGCTTTGGAGAATGCAACTCCTAATGTTTGAAAAAATGAGCTAATGGCCAAAGTCAGTGGCTCTCCTAACTCATCATAAGTCAACTTCTGAGGTGGACGTCGCTCTCTATTTGAACGCCTCAAATTTACTGGCTCTCTATCACTAGTTTCAGTACTAACAGCATTGTCAGTACTAACTACACATTTCTTTGGAGTGAGGTCTGTGTCAGTCAAGGTAGGTTCAAAGTCAGTTTCAGGAATGTCAATAACAACATGGTCTGAAGACCCAACGTCTAAATGGCCAGAATCAGTACTGCATGGACTCGGTGCTTCAAGTGGAATAGAGGTATCTGTATTCAGTAAGGAGTTTTGTGGAATCCCATTATCAGCAGATGATACCAGGGGATGACTTTCTGCGAGTGACTGTGCATTTGGAGGATTCAGTTCAGTTTGAACATAAGGGCCTCTAGTAATGACTTCTGGCTCCCATGTAGTGAAACCTAAGTCCTCCTCATCACTTATTTCATCCTCACTGTACTCTCCAATATGGTCACTTGTTTCTGCATTGTTCACTTTACTCCTGGTTCTCATTTTCCTCTGATTGCCATTTTGAATGTCAGTTCCTGCATGGTCTTCAACAGGTAAGAACCCGCAAGGGAGAAGCAAATCTCTATGCAATGTACGGGTAGGGCCATCTCCATTTCCTGGTTTGACTACATACACAGGACTGTCTTTGATTCGCTTGACAACAATATAGATGTTTTGCTCCCACCGGTTAGCTAGTTTGTGTTTCCCTCTTATGTTGACGTTTCGTACTAAAACTTTATCACCTGAAAACAGTTCAGCAGCTCTGATCTTTTTGTCAAACCGCATCTTGTTTTTGTAACCCATTTTCTTAGAATGTTCAATGGCAAGGGCGTAACTCTCTGAAAGATTTTGGCGAAGAGTTTTGACATAGTTGGAGTATGACTTTGGACCAGGTTTGCCAGGTTGAGTTCCAAAGATGAGGTCGATTGGCAACCTTGGCTGCCTGCCAAACATAAGTTCATACGGGGAATACCCCGTCGTATCATTTTTGGTACAGTTGTAGGCGTGTGTTAATGGCCTAACAAAATCTCTCCAGTGTTGCTTGTCTTTGTCTTCCAGCGTTCCTAACATGTCCAGAAGTGTCCGGTTGTACCGTTCCACCGGATTTCCCCGGGGATGGTAAGGAGTAGTGCGGATTTTACTCGTCCCAATCAATGTGCAAAGTTCTTTTAGGAGCTTAGATTCAAAATCCCTGCCTTGGTCACTAAGCAGCCGGCTAGGGATCCCATAAGGGATGATAAGGTGGTCCCACAAAGCTTTCGCTATCGTCTTTGCCTTTTGGTCTTTTGTCGGCACTGCAACAGCAAATTTAGTAAAATGGTCAGTAGCCACTAACACATTTCTAGTGTCTCGACTGTCAGGTTCAATAGACAAGTAATCTATGCACACTAATTCTAGAGGATAAGTTGCAAGAATATTTTCTAGTGGAGCGGCTCTCTGGGGAAGGGCCTTCCTCATTAAGCAGCGAGAACATTTTTTGCACTTATCCTCAATGGACTGAGCCATTCGTGGCCAGTAAAACCTTGCCCGAGCAAGATGTAGGGCACGCTCAAACCCAAGGTGACCAACCTCGTCGTGCACACCTTGCATTGCTCTGTCCCGGTAAAGTTGTGGCAATACTAACTGGTACACAGGGGAATCATTGTCATTGAACTTCCTGTACAGCACACCATTAAGGAGCTCGAGTTTGCTCCATTGCCTTAGCAAGAGTTTAACATCAGGGGGTTCAAGGTTTGTTTCTTTTGGACTTGGTCTCACCCCTTTTTCCAACAGGACCATCACACGAGCTATAGATGGATCACTCTTTTGTGCAGAGCACCAATCAGTGTCTGTCATAGAGGGTAATATTTCTTCTCCATATGCTTCACTGACTGATGTTGGGTCCATGGCAAGAGACTCACATATAAGAGGCTCTGAAGAACATAATACTGAATGACGCTGACACAGGGCAGAAAATGTTTCATGGTCTAGTTCCTTTTCTACGCTACCAAGACGCTTTTTCATGTCATTTATGCGAGCGTTCTCTTTGACAAAAGCCTCATCATCATGTGGAGGGTCTTGGGGTCTTCGGGACAACCCATCGGCATCTCCATTGGCTCTGCCTGCCCTATACTTGATGTTAAAGTGATAAGTAGACAAAGCAGCCAGCCATCTGTGTCCTGCAGCATCCAACTTGGCAGTTGTTAAGATGTAAGTTAGCGGATTATTGTCGGTCAGTACAGTGAAACTTGAACCGTAAAGATAATCGCTAAACTTCTCGCACACAGCCCACTTGAGAGCTAAGAACTCAAGTTTATGTGTGGGATAGTTTTGTTCACTCCTAGAAAGGCCCCGACTGGCATACGCAATCACTCTCAGCTTCCCTTCCTGCACCTGATAAAGCGCAGCCCCCAACCCATCGTGACAAGCATCAGTATGCAATACATAAGGAAGTTGCGGGTTTGCAAATGCAAGGATGGGTGCAGATGTCAGCTTTTCGATTATCATTTGGAATGCTGTCTCACACTCCTCAGTCCATTTCTCTGCAAGAGGCTGATTGGGACTGTGAGCCAGTCTGGGGGGTTCTCGTTTGTATATTTTTCCCTTTTTCTTGGGTGGGCGGTAACCTGCAGTGAGATGGTTCAGTGGTTTAGCTATCTTGGAATAACCCTCAACAAAACGGCGATAGTATCCAGCGAAGCCTAAGAAACATTTGAGCTCTTTGAAAGTGGATGGCCGAGGCCAACTTTTCAGAGCAGAGATCTTTTCAGGATCGGTATGGACTCCGTGTGCATCCACGATATGACCCAGATACTTCACTGAGCTTTTGAAAATATGACATTTTTCTGGGGACAATTTAAGCCCATAATCTCTCAGGCGGGTAAGCACTTTCATTAGGCGGTTTTCATGTTCTTCTAACGTGTCCGAGAACACTATTAGATCGTCTAAGAAAACAAGCACTTCGTTGAGATGTAGGTCACCTACACACTTCTGCATTAAGCGCTGAAAAGTGCTTGGAGCATTTGTGACCCCCTGCGGCATCCTATTAAATTCATAAAAGCCCAGGGGACACACAAAGGCTGTCTTAGGTTTGTCATTCTCAGCTACCTCAACCTGATAGTACCCAGACTTAAGGTCCATGACTGAAAACCATTTAGCTCCGCTAAGTGCTGTAAATGTTTCTTCTATATTTGGAAGGGCGTATGCATCGCGTATAGTCCTTAGATTTAACTTACGGTAATCTATGCATAGCCTGATCGAACCATTTTTTTTCCTCACCAATACAATTGGCGATGCATAGGGGCTTTGAGACTCTCGGATGATATTTGCATCAAGTAGTTCTCTTAGATGCTGTTTTACAGCTTCTCTGTCACTCGGATGAATGGGCCTTGGCCGTTCTTTAAAAGGTGTTTCATCATGTAATCTGATTTGGTGTTTGACAGCTGTAGTGTAACCATATGACATATCATCAAGAGCGAAAACTTCAGGAATGGTTTGCAATTTTTTTAAAATGCGCTCTTTCCATTGCTCTGAGATGGGGGACTCATTAAGACTGGACGAGAGTTTGTCAATGACAGGATCATTTTGACTTAAAGAGTTTGTGGTTTGACTAGGTCCTAAAGGCGAAACATGTTGTGCTGCACAAGCTTGAGCAACAATGCTATTTGGCTGCAGCGTAACACTGTGTTCATTCACATTGTGAACAATGACAGGCACTCTATTTCTACCATTAAAGGGAATGTCCACTAAAGAAGACTCTACAAGTAATCCACCTGGTAACTTGTATTGCTCATGTGGTTCAAGGACAAAACCTGTGTTCTGGTTGTTCTTTCTTAATCTCACATTGCCCATCAGGCACAGTTTCTGGTTTGCGTGAATCAGCACTGGCTTTTTGCTTTGTAACATTACAGGACAGGATTGAACATCACTTCTTTGTACCTGGGCGACATGTTGGAGAATCATTGCAAACTGCTTAGAGTGTAATTTATGAATGAACTTGGGGCCATCTTGTTCCAACAACTGCCCATAGAGTCGCAGAAGCACGTTTGTCCCTATCAACAGTGGAATTTTACTGTTGAAGTGGCACTCAGGAACGACAAGGGCTAAAACAACTAAGTGTTGTTCTTTGCCTGCAATGTTCTCAGGAAAAGTGATGTGGGTTTGAACATAGCCCAAGTATGGGACATTCTGCCCACCTGCTCCCTCAATCTCAAGAAGAGCGTGTATTGGTTGGATGGGGAGATGGGAAAGATGCCTTTTGTGAAAGGACTCTGAGATGGTTGTAACTTGAGAGCCTGAGTCCATTATAGACTCACATGGCATGCCACCAATAACTACAGAAGCTGCACACCGTGGACCTACAAGACCACGAGGCAAAATGGAGTCAGGATTAAAGCTGTCTAGTGGATGCATCGGGTCTGGGATTTTCATTTGTGTCTCGGGACTAAAACAATCTGAGTATTCAGCTCCTGGGTGTCCCACAACAGGAGCTGCCCCTAGTTTAAAGCAAAGGGAGTTGTGGCCTGCCGTGCAGCATAGTCAGCTTGTTTCTTTTTTAGCTCAACATTCTTTTCACGAACCAAGGTAGGATTTGCATCATTAGTGCAGTTGGCTGCAATGTGATTATCTTCCCCACATTTGAAACAAAACCATGCCCGGGGAGTGCCAGGGATTTTAGTAGCTACCCGCGGGGGCTTGGTGTTAGTAGCTAAGGATTCTTTGGGGTCACACTTATCGGTTTTGGTTGAATGTCTTTGGTTTTGCACGAGCATTTGGACCTGTTTGGTTAACTCAGCAATCTGTGTTTCTAATTTGGAAGTTTCAGTGGATCTTGGTCTCAAATGTTTCGGTTTGGTACTCAGTTGGGGTTCAGTGTCTGAGGCAGTGCTCTTTGGTCTTTGAGTTAACCTTTCTACTTGCTTTGTGAGTTCAGTGACCTTTTGCTCAAGTTTTACAGTTTCACTGTCAGTTGGGATGGGGGTTGCGAGTGGTGTTTGATCAAAACTGGGCATACTGAGGACTGAGTGAGCATGGGCAGCAGCTTTTGTAGCACCTAAATGTTTTTTCATACGGTCTAACTTGGCAGAGCGTCGATCTTCTTCTGTCCTCAACTGAAGGAGAAGCTCTGGAAATGGGGGTGGAAGATCCTTCCTTGCCTCAAGCTGGAGACTTATTATCAAGCTTTGGTCCCAGCAACCTCGTATGAATTGCTTGAGGAGTAGTTCATTAAAATTTACAGCAGAGGCTCCCCCTCTAGAAATGACTTTAGTAAGAAGGCTGTGAAGACGGTTCAAAAAAGCAGATGGTTTTTCCCCACTATTTTGATTTGAACCAAGGAAGGTAGTGAAAAGCTCCTCACCGTCTTCTACAACTCCAAAAGCTGAATCAAGTTGAGTAACTAAGGCGCTTGGTGATGCGGTTACCCCGAGAGATTTAACAACTTCAGATGCAGGGCTTAATAAGCTTTCAAGTATCTTCCTAACCTTGAGTGAATCAGTTAAAGAGGAGTCACTGAGCAGCAGATCAACTTGGGTGCGCCATGTTTCGTAATCGACTTCACCATTGGGTCTCGGGAGTCGACCTGAAAATGTGCGTATCTTTGCATGTGCAAGAGGTGCATGAGTTGGCTCATTACGAATAATATGCTCAACCACTACCTTCTGAATATGTGGGGGATTGTACAGGTTCTCATCTACATGTACAGAGCCTACAGAAGTGTCACTATGTGGGCTAAATACACTTGTGGGCTCTACAGCTTCTGTTGACTTAGTATTTTGAACATCGTCCGTAGTTGTATTAACAGTCTGGTTCGTGGGTGGATGTATTTCAGTCTGAGGAGTAAGGCTAGCGTGCAACTCACTTTGAAGGAAGCTAAAGAAGCCTGCTTTCCCACTATCCCCCATGAACTCCAGTTCTCTCAGGTATCGGCGCGCCATTTCTTTGCCTATCTCTTCTTGGGTAATGTCTCTAATGGTTTTTGAATACCATTTTATAGGTGGGTCTACAGTCAAGACTATTTCTCCTAAGGTTGAAGGGTCTATCTTTAAGATAGCTTGTTCAGATTCATACATTATGAGTGTTCTGCCTTCGGGCTGATGTGGCTCATTGGGGACCCTGACAATTTTAGAGATTTTACCATTTGCCCCAAAAACATCAGAAATGTCATTATCACTATGGCTTGCTGTAACACCTGTAACATACAGGGTTTTCTGGCTGTCAGCTGCAAAACGTTCACAAAGATCCATTTCAAATTTATACAAATGGTGTCAAAACAGTGTATCGTAATGGTTGGAAATAAAACCACAATACCAATCTCCTGGCTAGCTCGCCACTATGTGTCACCCTTTTTAACTGAGTAGTCAAAATAAATAAAATTTCAAAAGTATCAAGTGTTATTTTCAAAAAAAAAAAAAAATGTCTCCAATCTACTCACTTTGGGTTCAATTAGGTTCGTAAGGAGATTGGCAGAGGTAAATCACTAAGTGAAAGATTATTCCAACCAAAATAAGACACTGACAACCATTAGAATTGAATAACTGAAAACCTGTATTTCAAAATGCTGAACTAGAACATTGGCACAACACAGTTTGTTCACTTCCACATTCATTCAATTCAACAATACCATCCTCTATCAGAGTCCACAAGTGCACTAAAAAAAAATACTGTCCATTTCAGCTGAGTACACCGTCTTCCACTCTTTGGTAGGTATTTAATGCAAGTTTTAATATTCCTGATGCATCAGTTTGGTTTGTGGTATCAGATCTGACCCAAAAGTAACAAAAAAAAAATAAAAATAAATGATTTGAGATCTCAAAAAAACAAAAATAGAAATCCTCAGAGCAGATTGGGAATCTGTTTCTTCCCTACCACCCTCCAGAGAAACAGGTGGCCTTCACAATGGATGCATCCTGCAGCAGCATCTCCAGTGGTTCCTAGTTCGGTCCGTGGATGGAACCCCTCAGGTTGTGGCAGCAGGTGCAGGGACTATATGTATATATAAAACCAGCCTGCACACAATTGTGCAAACCAATTACTTCAACTGGAAAACAATCATGTAATCATCCTAAATTAAATTGTTTTAATCACATTGTACAGAAAACAAAACAAAATAAATACAGAAAATAAAATAAAATTATCAGTTCCAACTTGTCTTTTACTGTATATGCAGCTATTAAGGCCTGTAATAAGTATTCTTATCTTTCAAAGTAATCTAGGAGACCTGCAAAAGGGTAAGTTACATTATGACCTACAGCAGCACCACACATGGTGCAGCTAGCTTAAACCTCACACAAAAGTACATGTTTTTTTTTAGAAGAGCACATGTGGTGAGTTAGCTTACTTCTTACCATGCCAATGCACCTAATAAACCATGAACAGCAATTGTAGTCATATTTCTAACAAAAGCTCATAACCTGACTGGTTTTACATAGCAAAAAACACTTGTTTCACAAGACTCACCAGGATTCTTCAACAACAAAAAAAACTCCTCAGCTCAACGGATTTCAGGACTGAACTCCTACAACATCTGGTGCCTCTAAAATACAAATATAATCATCAATATGACATTTAACAAGGCCTTTCACGCATTTAACCCAGGGCGAATGTTTTAAAATATTACCTTGCTCTATGCAGATAGATGCCATGGAAGAAAGTGCGTTTGGTCTGAGCAGGGAGGAGCTGTGAGCAGCGCAACTGTGCAGGTGCGGTGCATTCACAGTGCGTGGGAAATCTTAGTACTTAACTTCATTACCCCCTTTTCTTACGATTTGAAAAAACATACATGTACACTGATGACAAAATAACCATGGGTTACAAGTTAAAATGTCTGAGACCACACATAAGCAAATGTATTTGGAAATCCAGGGTATGCAGAGTGATATGCTGCTTTCTCCTCTTATACAGCATTTATTTTCAATCTCTTTCTAACTTTAGTCCAGCAGGTGGAGTCCTTCTCCTTGGACCTGAACCACTTCAACTCCCAAATCCTCCTAGAGGCCAAGAACAGTAACTGCATAGTGCTTGCAGGTGGGCAGCAGCTGTTTGTGTATTCTCTGAAAGGAGTCCTGCTTGCTAGTTTTACAGATCATACTATGCCCATATCCTCAATATGTGTGGTAAGTGGTTTTTATTTCAGGTTCAGACTTCTATTTCCATGGCACTTGTTGGCAGTTTAGAGTATGAGATATGAACTTGGGCTTTGCAGGACAGTTTCCGCGTGGTGACAGCATCTCAGGACCTTTCCTTACGAGTGTTGACATGGAAGAACGACGGAGATCTGGAGAGTCAGTACCACTTGCTAGGAGGCTCTCATACAATGTCCAGGTTGGTGGAAGCTGTGCCATGTCAGTGTTTGGGATTTATCCTTAGAAGCCCCATGGAAACACCAGTGATAACCTGGGATGTCCATATCAGTGTGTTTCTTTCTCTCTGAGTTATTTAGTTTTTTGTTGAGGAGCTAATATCATTTGAGTCTAACTAAAACATAGCTATTTCTTTCCTGTAAAGTTAATACATCACAGTCAATTAATGATCTAAGACCAGGATACTTTTTTTTCCCTCAGAGTCGGGGTGGTTTGAAAAGCTTTTTTTACTGTTAAGTGAAAAAATTAGAATTGGGAAAACTCTGAATGTGCCTATTTTGTTTTACTTATTACTTCCTGTCTCTCTGTTTCAGAGGGTTCACTCACGTCGCATGTGACTACTCCAGCATCGTGGCTTCAGTAGAAGGAAATAATGGGAAGGATGTTCTTAAGGCTTACTCTTTCACATCTTGAGAATCGCAGCATGGCAAAAAAAGACCAACACACGCTTTACAACCTTCTGTCATATGGTTTTATTATCGACTCTTATGCTCTTTGGTGGAATCACATGTTGACGGTTAACTGGAAAGAAACAACCTGCGATTTGTTTATGTTGGTCATAAAATTGCATGAGAAGGATCTTTAAGCATGCTTAAAGCAAGGGGCGAATGTCACAAGGCTTAAGGCAGAATGTTTTAATGTAAATATTCACATTTGTGCTTTGTTCTACCTAATGCTAAAGATGTTTTGACAATATATTACAACATATAAAAGTATAGAGTTCATGTCAATAATGATGATGTTTTACTGAAGATTAAAAGAATCTGACCGTCCCAAGGCACAGAAGTATCTATTTCATAACAGACTGGTTTAGTCATGTCACATGGAGTGCAGGTTTGGCTCTTTCCTCCTCCTCCTCCATAGCAACGGATCTCAGGTCCAGAAGAACACACCTCAGAACTTTTGTCATAGACTCATACAGGTTGCTCCCCTCCTCTGAATTAATTTTTATCTGTAAAAAAACATACACAAAACTTACAAAAAGCAGTCCACTTGCAGTAAATACTTGCTGTAAGATGAAGAGGGTTCATAATTTCTTACCCAGGTGAAAGCTTTGATTGCTCTATATAGAAAAGCATCTTCAACCTCCTCTGATATTTTCATCATGTGAGCCATGCAGTTGAGTATGCATCTTACTGTTTCTTTAGATGCCTGACAAGAAATAAACATCAGGGTTTAGGTTAGAAACAGATTCTCTTCCATTATGATCTGTATTCATTCACCACCGTGTTTGACCTGGCTCAGAGTGTTCAGAACAGTGTTTGCATCGATATTGTCTGGACTGAGGGTTTTAGCATCTTGGATGGAGATGATTGGTTCTTTAAGCTGCTCCAGCCATGCCCACATTATACCAGTCAGGATGAAGGGATCCCTCTCTGTGCACAGCCTCTCCCATGCACTGCCTTGGTTCAGCTCCGCCTGCACACAGTTCAGAGCTCACATCAGCTACTGTCAACTGCCTCAAAAAATGGGGGGGCTTACATTCAATGTAGACAAACAGCTGTAATTCAATAAATAAAATTTTAAAAATGTATGTCTCAGCTTTGATTCCATCAATAATTGCATGCCAGATCCCCTTTGCTGTAATGTATTTCTTACATTTAATCTTATATTAAAAAAAAAAAAAAAAAAACTTTTCCTCACCCACCGCAGGCGGTCTCCCTTTTTTTTTTTTCCTCCAAGCTCGGGTCCTCTACCAAAGGCCTGGGAGCTTGAGGGTTCTGCGCAGTAACTTTGCTGTTCCTATCACCTGACATTAGCAAGGGGGCATCTAAACACCACAACTTTTACTCTCAGTACTGAATTTCTATTAATGAGAACAGATAAGGAAGATGGGCAAATTTATCATTTTCTCCGGGAATTAAGTTCCTTAAATCAGACACAATGCTGAAATAAATTGTTCCAAATTCTAATAAATAATGAAAAAAATCTTAATTTGCATCATTGCCATAAGCTCTTCTTATGATCAGGCTATTCCATATTTTTCCTCTGGTATTGTTGACATTTTTGCATGACATTGGCAGAGTTGTCTGATGTATTTCCAGGGATCTGCTGTAACCACTCTTCAAGTTTGGGGGTCACTGCCATGAGGGCCCCAATGACCACAGTTACCACTGATGCCTTCACCTACCTGGTTTTCTCCAGCTTTTCTCTGAGCCCCTGGTTTTCTCTAGTTTCTCATATTTCTTTTTTTATTCTATTATATAGATATACATCTATAAATGTTTCCTTAGGTGATTTCTGAAGGACACTGGATGCACTGGGCTTTATTTAAGTATAGCAGAATTAGGAGGGCAGAAATATACCCATTTCAGGTTTTTAATTTCCTTCACAATAGCTAAAAACACACACACACACACACACACACACATATATATATATATATATATATATATATATATATATATATATATATATATATATATATATACCGGTATGTGTGTGTGTGTTTTTAGCTATTGTGAAGGAAATTAAAAACCTGAAATGGGTATATTTCTGCCTTCCTAATTCTGCTATACTTAAATAAAGCCCAGTGCATCCAGTGTCCTTCAGAAATCACCTGATTGGGATTATCTTGGTGAAGGTCTCAGAAGTTATTTGGTGAAAATTACTCAATAGCATCATGAAAACTAAGGAAACATTTTAAAGTTAGGATGGCAGTGCTCCTACAAATCAGATACTATAGATCTGGTGCCCATGAAAGAGTAACAAGGTTGAAACTAAATGAGTAAATATTTGGATAAATGTCTCCTGGTCATATTTTTGGTCTGCCTGCTATGAAAAGCCTTAAAGTAAAACTGCCACTCAGGATACACCACCTCTATGGTGATGACAGGATCATGCACTAGAGATATTAATGCAGCAGGGAAAGAGAAGCTAGTTAGAGCTGATCACACATGACGAGCTAAATACATGACAACCTTAGAAGAAATTGTTAGAAACTGCAAAACACTTCACTGTGAAGGCAGCTCGCCAGAAACATTCAGCTAAAGGTGCAATAGGATGGTTAAATAGAAGCATATTCATTAATTCGAATGGTTATTTCAAAGTCCAGACATCTACGGTAATTGAGAACCTGTGATAAGATGTAATAAGTAATGTTTACAGATGCTCTCTATCAAATCTGAGCTTGTGCTGTTTTGCCAAAATCTCTTTCTAGAGGTGCAAAACCAATACAGACTAAAGCAATAAGGAAATGGGCTAATTTAAGTTACTGGTTACTAGTGGAGAAGATGTAGAGAAGTTCAAGCGTTGAATAGTTTTTTGATTAGTTTCTACTTGTATAAAACTAACTAACTTAGCTCACTAAGTTGGTTACCTGCCAGGCCAAAACTTTGGTCCTATGCTCCTCCTCCCCATCGAGAAAAAGGTCCACTGCTAGTGCCTGGGCCATCAGCATCCTCCTGGCTTCCAGAGACAGCTCAGACTGCAGGGTGATGCACGGAAGCTCTGATTGCTCATTTTCTTGATCTTGAAGCTTTACCCCATTCATTGCTAGCTCTTCCCTCCTCTCTGCCTTCCACCTAGACAACATGCTACCCTTTTTAGTTGGCTTATTGTTCCCCACTGACTCGCTGCGTTGGATGGTTCTCCTTTTTAATTTCTTTACCACAATAATGCCATCTTTCTGCCCTTCCTCATTTTTGATTTGCCAGAGAGAGCCTGTCGAGCTGTAAGAGACATCAGATATGTTGATGTTCGGACCTTGACTCTGGGATGACGGTAGAGTGTTCTCTGATTTGGAGACGGTGGTCAGAGATTGTGTGAGAAGGTTTAGCTGTGATCCCAGGCGTCTCAAGTCAGACTCACTGTAGCTCAGACTTTTGCGGTGGTAGAAGATGGGAGGCTCATTGAAGTGCCTGGGTAAGGTGGGTGAACCGGGTAACCGGGGCTCCTTTGCAAATAATTCAGGCCCCATCTTCTCAATGACACTCAGAGTTGTTTCAATCTCCTGGATATCAGGGGCTTCAAGGATGTCCTCCTCAATCACCTGCCTGTTCTCAGCTATGTCCACCAAGAGCCTGCAGACTAGATGTATAATCTTGGGTAGGTACCTCAGTTCCTTTCTCTCATTACCGTGCAGAATGTGTCTCTGGCGGTTAAGATACTGCGACAGTGTTATGGGATGGGACTTAGGCCTGGCGCAGGAGAATACGCTTCGTAAAGGGACAAGAAACTGGACAAAGTCTCTGATGCACCGCAGCTGACCCCGGGTTTGGATGGAGTTGGGCCGTTTGGCACGAACATATAAAATAGCTTGGTTTGCAGTCATCCTGGTAGCGTAGGCCAAGAAACAGGCTAAGAGCACACCTAGAACGAAACCAGGAAGGCTTTAACACAGTGTCTTGATGTGCAGGTCAAAGATAACAATGTAACTCCTCTACCAGAGTTCTACCTGTTCTGCCAAGTCCGGCGTGGCAGTGGACTGCTAACTTTCCCTCCTGCAGTGCAAAGGCCATTACCATCACCATATCCAGGATGGCGGTGAGGTTGGCCACTCCGTAGTCACTCCAGCCAAAATTATAGAAATAAACTGAAATAACAACATACATTTGATCACCATTTTCAACAAAATACAGTTATGAATACAAACTGTGGGTTAAAAATGTTGGCTTATAGAGAGCCTCGATTAAAAATCAAGTATTTGCAAAAACTATTTTAAACCTTTGATCCTGGACTCTACTTTTCATCACTGGTCAGACAAAAACAAAAATCTATAAATGATTCCCAAAAAAAATAAAAAAACAATTCACCGGACTTTGTTTTCCAAGTTTGAAATTGTTTTGCTTTCCATCCAGAAAGATTCTTCAATTCAATATGTCAGAAATAGCATTGAGTTCCAGGCTTATAGAATGGCCAAAACAAAGGCCTTGTTATGGTTTAGAAAAACATGCAAATTGAACCAAAAACACAGGTCCAACCCTTAGTAATTGGGAGTCGTTGAGGTTGTTGTTGGCCTGTAATACCCGATTACTCCGGACATTTTGAATTGAGAAAGCTTTCTGGATGGGAGGCCAAACATTTTCAGTCCAGTGGGTTTTTTTTTATTTTTTTTTTACTTTTTTGAAATGATTATGACCTGGACTACTGAGAATTTTCAGAATATCTATAAATGATTGTAATAATAGGAAATTAATTGTTTTCAAAGCCACTATGGGTAGTCTTGAAATTTCCTTTCCCTTTTATTTTCATTCAGCAACTATTTTGACATTAATAGATATTTTTCCCAAAACAAAGCCTTAACAAAGAGGCAATATTTATTATTGTTTTATTTAATATTATATTTACTATTATTTATTTGTAAACTATTTCACATTTCAACTCATTGTGAGATAAAAAAAGTTATCTTTTGGTAAAATATGGTTAAACTGGTTCACAAGGTGTCTATCTGCCCCCATTATGGGTTCAGAAACCAGAGCTAATAAACAAATAATACTTCTACAGGAAATGTCTACTGGAGGTGTGGCCATTGGCCTTTTGATTTTTTTGCCTCCTCTTCCTGAAAACTGTTAATTAATGAAGGTCATATTAAAAACATCTGCAGAGGTGCATACTGTTGTTTTCCATGAACGCTTCTGGGCGGTACGAGAAACCACTTTCTGGCTCCAGAGGCTTCCCACAGCTTGCATGTTCTCCAGGTAACTGCAGGTTGATGACTGTTTTAATGCCATTCCTTCAACACAAGCACAGAAACAGAGCAAACATGTCATTGGTCTAATTTCTTCTACTCTTCCTTGAAAAGCTTCTTAAGCTGATGGAAAGAAATGTTGTAAATACCTTAAAAACTGGGAAATAATGTTATACTTCTGAATTATCTCTGTTGAAGGCCTGGACATAGCAAGAAGATTTTCTGTGACCCTAAAAGATAGAAACTGTCAGAAACTATATGTACAGTTCATATGAAATGAAAGCATTTCCAATTCATTTAACATGTTTTTACAATCAGAGGGCTGTGAAAAAGTGTTTGTCTTCTTACATGATAATTGTCTACGGAACCCCAGATCTGACATGGGAGAAAAAGATATACAGCGTTCACACAAAATGCTAATTTGTTCCCACAAATTGGGAACAAATTAGTATTTAGTGGGAACAATTTCATATTTTGTGGCCACAAATTGATATTTTGTGATAAGAAATATTTTGAGGGAACAAATTCATATTTTGTGGGAACAAGTTAGTATTTAGTGGGCCACAAATTAACATATTGTGTAACAAATGAATATTTTGTGGGAACAAATTAGCATTTTGTGCAAAAAAGTTCATATTTAGTGGCCACAAATTCCTATGTGGGCTTATTTTCAATCATAACCTATTGTAACCTTGGATCTTTACTTTTTTATTATTCTTTTTTTGTTTTATTATTTATTTCATTTCTTTCTTTATTTGCCGTCCTAAAATATAGCTGATATAACTGGTAGGCTTCCTCTTCATGGGAAGGTTTACCCTCATTCTGTAGACTATTTGTACAATTATTTGTACAATAAAAGTCTTTATTATGACTTGTCATACAGGTTCTATTTAAAGTAATTCTTGATTTTACAGATAAACAGGTCTTGATGGAATTGTCTTAGATTATTTTTTTTCAGTCAATTTCAAAATATTTTTTTTCTATTTACCCATGTTATTTTAAAATCAGAACTAGTTTCATGATCTGAAGCATTTAAGTGGTAAAACAAAAGCATGGGAAGGAAAATAATCAGTAAGGGAGCAAATTCTTTTTGAAATGTTCCTTTAAGTTAAAAGATTTAATTGTACCAGGATGAATATAGGCCTTTTATTGCCTGTTGGTCCTCACTCCAGTAGTTTGGGTTGTCATACTTGCAGTCTTCCCCTCCACAGCCGATGGAGCACTGCATGTGTGCTGGGATGACATATCGTATCGCTTCTCCTACAATTGTGTATTTTGCTCTCGGGGCTTTTACTATCAGGGTGAAAGAAAAAAGAAGAAGCTTTAGAGCAAACGTCAAAGTACAATTAACATTTTATTGTGAAAACTGGCTCATCAGATCAAAAACCTTTGAATCAGTGATGTCTCAGAAGCACGGTTCTCTGGCTAAATTTGTTTTGTTTTGTTTTTTAAAAACTTCTTATTTAAATTTTGCACAGAACAATAAAAAAAACATTATCTGAGACAAGAAAAACAATGAGAACAGTGATAATAATAAAGATATTCTATACATATATGCTGCTGTACATTACATGAATATTCTTTACATTTCAGCAAACCTGGTACAATAATATACAACAATTTTGTGATATAAGATATAGAAGGAAAAAAACACCCACACAAGTTAAAGCAGGTTTCCATACTCCTTTTTTTATGAAACCTGTAATTTATCAATTTAAATATCTAACCATGTGCCATTTCTAATAAAAAAGGTCAGTTTTCAGTTGTAATTAAGCAGTATTTTTTTCCATCATATAAATCTGTTTTAGTCTGTGTTTCCATTCAGTTACAGTTAGTGATTTCACATTCCAATTAACAATAATGGGTTTTTTTTTTTTTTTTTTTTGGCAATGAGTAGTAATACTCTTATGACATATCTTTGGTCAGCATTGAATAAATAAACTGATATTACACCCAGTAAGTAAAACTGTACATACATTTGGTTCTAAAGTCCTAATGTTCAGAAAACAAAAAGTTTTAGGAATGCAGTAATATTGCTACTTTCTGTATTTGTTTTTTACTAGTCCTTTATTTTATAAGATTAGACAAAAATCTAAAAGGATTTAGGTTTGTTTGGAACACTGTCTAAAAAGTTCTGTCTGGATGGCAGAAAGATCTGTATTTACATAGATAAGAGGGTTTTTGGAAACACTGAGGTCAACAGTTGTGGTTCTATCATGCCTAAATAATTAAGGTCATCAGTGGGGAAGGATTGCTAATCCTAGCGTCGGGCCTGCGACTTTGTCCTCAGGGCATTACAGTAAAAATAGCTAGAGTTGCACCAATCAGGCTTTTAGTGGCTGACACAGATTTCTGGTTTGGTTTGAGCTTAAAAGACAAAATTATAATTCTATTTCCTTTTTTAAAGGGGTGTTATGATTAGAAACTCAATTGTGTAAGCTTTAAGTTTTAAATAAGCAATGGAAAGAAATAACAGCTGTCACGTTGATTGATAGAGCTGATAGGATTCCACAGAAAAGTACAAAATATGAAAACGAAATTTCGTTTTGTACATTTCTCAAGATATTTCCATTTCTTAAAATGCAGCGGTGATAAAATGTAAACATGGTGATCAAATGTAAACATAACACTGAGATATGATTTACAGTTTTTCCAACATTCAGCTTTTTTTCATTTTATCCAGCATTCCGCAGACTAATGGCATGTTTTTGATGCATTTAGAGATTAAAAATGATTTAGTTCAATTTAGTTTATTTATATGGAGCCAATTTGCAAGAAAAACATAATTTGTAGGAGGCTGCCTGTTGCATCACTAAACACAACTGCTCCTTTTTCTGTTTTCTGTTATGTTTGAACAGAATATGTTTGAAAAAGCAGAGTCACGTCACAATAATACTTACTGTATTCCATCAGAGATGCCCCTCCTAATCCTACATGGAATGCCATGTGAACATTCACTTGGGCTGATGATCATAGCAGAGCCTGGACAATCAAATGCACTTTATTTCACTCTTTGTCACATGTTCCCACTTACATACAAGGCGTACTGTTCAGTTTGCTACCTGGCAGTGCTACTCTGATAGCTAAAATGCAGTGCTGGGATTTAAGATCACAGTCATCCATCTCCGTTCTTTTTAAGGAACATCTTTGTTATCAGTTTGAAATATATATATTAAATACTTTACAGTCAAAGATGGCCACTGTAGAGCTCTAGTGATCAAATGTTAACTAATCAAAGTGACTCCAACAGCTGGTAAAAAATAATCACTCTTATAATTGCAAGTATTTGAATCATTTCACAGTATCTGGAGATAAATACAGCAAAATGAAACAACTCATATCTGTGAATATTTACCTGTAGAAGTTGAAAGGAGCTGCCAGTGGCTTCAGGTTCAGAAGGAAAACCATCCAGTGCTACAGCTGTCATCATTTCCGACATCACTCCCATGAGCTCTGACGTTATCCTTCCCTCTCTGCTCTTTCAATCCCATGGCCTCATTGGCATCAGATTATCTCAGAGTAGAGAGTGTCAACAATGCAAGTGGGGTGATGGATTCTGCATGCTCCTCTGTAAGAGGCCATAGCAGATAAAAGGACCAAATCCAATGCAGAGTGTGGAGAGGCTGCAGATATTTTGTCGATTTTGTTTACCGCCATCCACAGGGTCTTTGTGTTCCTTTGACCCGCTGAGGACATTCTGAACCTATTTCGGACTCCTCCCAGATTAGGCCACTAATCTTATTAAGACCAGTTGCAGCAAAAAAGTTCCCCCTCCTCAAGAAAAAGGCCCCAACGGCATTCCTGATAATTGTTTACACGTATGACTTCATCTGACTAACTAATAGATACATTAGATTCCCAATAATTAAATTATTTAATCAGATACATAAATGTATCTAATTAAACATGGATATACTGTAATGATGGATATAGATTGTGGACTTTAGAAAGGTCACAGCCCCACCGTCCCCCCTTGCCCTCACAGACAGCCCCACCCCCATCTCCAACGTGGAGTCCTTCCGCTTCCTGGGCACCACCATCACCCAGGACCTCAAGTGGGAGCCGACCATCAGCTCCCTCGTCAAGAAGGCCCAGCAGAGGATGTTCTTTCTGCGGCAGCTGAGGAAACTTAAGCTGCCAACCCGGATGTTGGTGCAGTTTTACACCTCCATCATTGAGTCCATCCTCACATCCTCCATCACCGTGTGGTACACTGGCGCCACCGCCAGGGACAGATACCAACTGCAGCGCATTGTGCGCTCCGCTGAGAAGGTGATCGGCTGTAAGCTGCCATCACTCCAGGACCTGTATGTCTCCAGGACCAGGAGACGTGCAGGTCGCATCACAGCCGACCCTTCTCACCCTGGACACAGACTGTTTGAACCTCTCCCCTCAGGGAGGAGGCTACGGTCCATACGGACCAGAACCTCCCGCCATAAAAACAGCTTCTTCCCCTCTGCCATAAGACTCATGAACACTATATGTCAGACTCCATAACCTGCCCATGCCATTCACACTGCTGTATTGCACACTGCTCTATTTGCACTATCTTGTACATTTTACTTTTTATATTTATCCATATTTTTATCTTAAGTGTATATATTAGTATATTTTTTGCATGCCTTATACCCTAGTGTTTTTAGAGATTTTTATAATTTTATTTACTATTTCATATATGTTTCATGTTGCACGACTGTACCACAGAAATTTCCCAGTTGTGAACCTCTTCACTAACAATGGCAATAAACCCGATTCTGATTCTGATAGTAGAAATTTCTGAAATCAGCACATTAAAGCTGACCTATTGCACAAACTGTGTCACTCTAGTGATGTAGATAAAATCTCATAAACTAATCTTTCACCTTACCAAAGCAGGTTGGCTTCAGGTGAGAGAAGGGAGATCGGTTTAACATGTCAACCATTTTCAGAACCTTGGGGCCAGTAATCCTCATGCAGAGTTAAAACGCTGCTGGCCGCTCTGTTGTAATCAGAACTATAAGACATCCATTATATCTAAGCTAGTTTTTCTACATTACAATAAAACAATCATTAAGTGAGTTTGAAGATATCCTGCTAATAAATACTATGAAACAGTTAATTGAGTACTATTTAATATATAGTACCTCTTCAAGACAATGCTGTTTTTACCCATTTCTCTATAATAGCATAGAATAGAATAGAATAGAATAGAATAGAATAGAATAGAATAGAATAGAATAGAATAGAATAGATGACAATAGATGAGAATAATTAAGAATAGATTAGAACAGAATAGAAAATCCCTTTATTGTCCCACAATGGGGAAATTCTTGTGTTTAGGCAGCAAAAAGATTATAGAAAAAAACTGCCACATAAATGTGGACCTTAGAAAAATGTATAAGAAAAACATAATAGTGAAGAGTTAAAAGATAAATAATAAAATACTGTACTGTAAAGAGTTTTAACAATATAAAACTTTGCACCTGGATAATAAATAATCAATATATAGCTATGGTCATATTTGAAAATAGCAGCAAAATCAGAGATGTGCAAAATGACAGCAGTATGTTATTTAAATGACAAAGACAGAAACTGTGCAAAATCAGCATGAATGTAACAACTAATTGAGGTTATTGGGAACAGTGATAGTTATAAAGTTTTAGAGCTGCTGGGAGGAAGGATCTGTGATAACGCTCCCTGGTGCATTTAGGGTGCAGCAGTCTGTAACTGAAGGAGCTCTCCAGTTCAGCAACTACAACTACATTATCCAACAGAGATGTTAATTTAGTTGGGATCCTTTTGTTTCCCACCTCCTGCACTAAGTCCAGAGGGCATCCAGTCACAGCTCAAATCTTTGATTATAACTATTTTATTTGACTGAGCAGCACAAAGTGTCGCATAACTGTGAGGGGGAAGAAATATGCATGCTTTCTTCTTTTCCTCAAAATATAAGGGTATGTCTCTAGAAATAATAGTTCCTCAAAGGAACTCATAGTAATTGATATTTCTGCAGATTACTTTCTTTTTTGGGAATTAGCTAAAGCTCAGCCAGCTTAGACAGAAGCATCTAGGAACATCAAGTCATCCCCGAGAATCCTAATTAGATTCTTAACTTTGACTGGAGTGTTTATGGTCCGTTTCCCTCTCAAAGGTAAACCTTTGCTCTCTTCTTTTATATATATATATTTTTTTTTTTAACTCTGAACAGCTTAATTGTCCTTGCTGGAGAAAAACATTCCCACATAATGATGCTGTCCCCACCGTCTTTAACAGCTGATGGTAACGACAGATTTATGTGGAAAAATAATTTTCAATCATAGAGGTTTTCCTCTGACTAGAACACTTTCATCGAAAAAAGATTCTCATGGCTTCCTTTCTACATCAGACTTTTTTTTTTGGGCCGGTTTTCTTTAAAGGTGTTCCCTGACATTGCATTAGATTCTTAGTTTTGTCTCTGAATTATATTATTATTATTATTATTTATTTTTTTTTTTTGCTTTGCCTATGCATTTGCAAATGGATGGCAGTGCTGTTTCGGTTGGACTTCTGGTTCTGTTGCCAAAAGAGGTCTTAAACTTGAGATATTGTTTTACAAGTTAATCCTGCTTTAGACTAAACTGCAAATTTCACCCTGGCCTGTCTGACATGTTACCTGCTCTTCATGGTGCTGCTTTGTTCTCCAATAACACCTTGAATCATTAAAGTAAATGGTTGAACAGCCTTCTCACTAGAAAAAAACTTTTACTCATTATCAGCACAACATATTGCCTTGGTAGGTACATCAGAATCAGACATACTTTAATAATCCCAGAGGGAAATTACTTATTTAGGAATCATTATTTTTATTGAATAATATGTTAGCTAACAGATTTTTGGTCCTATGTTGCAGCAGATAATTTATTTATTTTAGTTAGTCTTGTTATATAAAAAAATGTGTATTAAAAAGTTATTTATGCATTACACATGGCAATTTTGTATCTAGGGTGATGAAATAATTTAAACTGAAAGTATAGCTTTTAAACTATATGATCAGTTAACCTGGACAGCAGTTTCTCCTACCAATTCTCAGCAAGATAGAATAATGACTTAACTATATAAATCTCTCTCTTTTTTAAACAATTAAAATATCTCAAGAAATCATTGAAAAACTGTATTAAAATGACAACATACGCAACGATTAATTTGACATTTTTATTCAATGGTCCCTATTGATGGTCTCCATTAGATTTACTTTGAAGTACTAAAATACTCTCCAGCAGAGGGCAGCAAACGTCCATTTCTTTACTGCTGCAGAAGGGGTCTGCTGGTCCTTCTGCGACAAAAGGCGTTTCAGAATGAAGATTTCCGCGCTCCACATAAGCAAGTCCTAACTGCCTTGTGGGAAGTGAGTCCATACGGGTGACATGCGAATCACTTTAACAGGCATAAGAACTACAATTCACGAGAAGCCTTGCAAAGAGGTGTGGGGAGGGTGGGCAATCTTTTCCAGCTGATTGCGTGGGTGACGTCTCATTTTGGTAAGTTGTCAACAAGCTAACGGAAATGTCGGAAAGAGAGAATCGTCGATTTCAAAATAAAGCAAAGATGTTTAAAAAAGTTTTAAAATGTCAATACATAGACTTTGGCTATTAGCAATATGTGGGACAAAATTTTATAAATTTGATTTTGCTGATTTTGAAAGAAGATAATCACTGATGTAGCTGAAAGGGAAAACACCCATCCATCCATCCACATTTTTCTGGATGGATTGATGGATGAATGAAACTGAAATTGTTTGCATACTAGGGAGGCCTGATGTGTTACTGTTGGCATCGGAATCGACTTTTATTCATTCCTTTTTATATATATACATGTCTACAATGTCTAACCACCTATAAATAGTGTATTTCAGTATATTTTGGTCATTTTGTTTTCTTAACAATAGGAAAGCATTCAATGAATATATGTTTGAGCTCATTTTTGGAAAATACAAACCCTATTGAAAGCTTTGTGTGGAGTAACTGTAGGTCCATCAACCGCCACCAACTTTCATTACAAAGTTACAACCTTGAGAGACACACTTTCTTCTGTTGTGTACTCCAGGCTTATTGGTTAAATGTTATTTTCCATCAGCAGAGTCTACTCTGTTATTTGGAGGTTGAGTGATAATACAATAATAACTGTACTGTAGTTTTACTTATTCTACATACTGTAACTATCCATCTATCCATTTTCCCTCACGCTTAATCCCAGTTGGGGTCGCGAGGGGTTACTATAATTGATTTAGAAATTTTTATAACTAAAATATTTGAAATCAGTTGTATTGATAATTGGTAGTAAATAGTAGTCAGTTACTAGTGGCCTATTTACTTTTTGGTTACTCTTACTTGAGTAACTTCTTCAAAGGCTACTTTTACTTGAGTAAAAATATGATTAAGTAGTGCTCATTTCACATAAGTAAAATTTGTGGTACTCTGCCCAGCTCTGGATTTAGGTTTTAATATTGACAGTTCTATGAGTTTTGAAAAAAAAAAGAAAAGAAAAAGAAGCTAAAACTGAAGTTGTGCTCTTATTTTAGAATATGTATTTTGAGGCCAGGAGGTGTTTTCTTGCCACCACTTTTGCACCATTTGAGGATATGAATTCATAATATTAAATGTAGCTAAAATTTGCACTGATCTGTCTATTCTGCTGTCTGAGTGGATTCATTTGCAGGACTTGAAGCTGAAGGAGACGGTCTCTGTCAGAGGTCACGGATTAGCTAATCCAGACCCAACCTGATTTAAAACATTTAAAATTGTTTTTCATGTTGTCCAAGCCATGAAAAATGAAAGAAAAAACAAATAAAAAAACGGTCAGTTATTTTATATAAAATATGTGAATCAGGAAATTGTCTGTATTCCAAACTCAACAATTGCTGTTCTCTACACTTTAGATTTTAAAATGGAAACAATTTATTTATTATTACTATTATACTATTTATTTATTTTTTTATTTAACAATTCAATGTATAACATGGATGCATAAAAACGCTCATTGTATTCCAGTGTTAAATTCAGTTTAAAGTTAAAGATTGTAATTAAAAATGTCTCCGGACCTTTACTGGTTGAGGATTTTCTTTATTCGGACCTCGCTGATTTTTAATTGGTTACCCCTGGTCTATGTTCATGTATTTAAGGTAATTCTAAACCACTTTATAGATAAGATTTCTGTTTGTAAAGGTTTTAACCAATTGCCAATCACATTTTAGATGGTTATTTTTGTCTCATTTCTTTCATATCTATTTACTAAAATTCAGTCTCTTTGCCAAACATGCTCTTATTTTGAAAAAGGAAACACTTTAGTATTCTTCCGGCTCCGTGCTGGAAGTTGATCCTCTGACTCAGTCCCCGGCTCAATCACTCTGACAAGCCGGTGGAGAGGCGAAAGCAGCCTCGGAGCAACGATGATGGAGCGTCTATAAGAGATAACAGAAGAAAAAAAGGCATAAGAAAACAAAACAAAGAAACTACAAGACCAAAGAAGCCAAACCATAACCATGCAATCTAAAAACAGACGAATTTGAGCCGGCGCTGCTTCTTTCTTCAAGGTTACACCGGCCCTACGTCTTCTGTTCGCAGCTCAGCTGTAGATATGATGTCCGCAGAGGAGCAGGGATACCCCGCAGCCACGCTGCTGGAGGCCGGGCCGGAGTGGCTGCGGGCCGAGGTCGAGCGTCTTTCCCGGGAGCTGAGCGAGACCACCAGCGAGAAGATCCAGGCGGCGGAGTACGGGCTGGCGGTGCTGGAGGAGAAGCAGCAGCTCAAGCAGCAGTACGACGACCTGGAGATGGAGTATGAGGCTGTCAGACAGGAGATGGACCTACTGAAAGAGGTAGAAAATAGCCCTGATCCCCTCTTAATATATTATGGCAGCTTCATTACATATATATAGGTGTGTGATAGAGGGATACAGTTCATTTTTAGATTTACATGAAAATCATTCTGCAAGGTCAAGACTGCATGAGGAGGCAGGGATGCTTCCACCCTCCCCCTCCATGTTCAGGGAGTCCCCACTGCACTGCCACCTTTATTTATTGATGCAGCTCCTTGATTTCAGTTCTGGCTTGCAGATAAGCCTTCTATGTTCCTACAGTCTGCTCTTTAATCATCATGAGAAGATTTGCCAAGTGTTGAGGTGGAATCAATAAAATGGGCAGAGTTCTGTGCAAGGCGTGGACAGGTTATTGGTATAAAGATGTTTAACAGCTTCAGAGGAGTATATGCACCAATCAGTTGGATGTGGTGTTTGATTTAATGCATTAAAAACATTTTGTTTTTTATGTTTTCTGCTGAATGTAGAGCTCTGTCTCCATAAAAGAACCTGCAGCTCATTTTCTCCTCCTTTTATGCTGAATAATTCCCTGGAAAACCTGAATTCTTTATTATTATTATTAATCACTGCATTGAACAGGGACTGTATATGTTGCTGCACACTTCCAGTCAGATGGCTTAAAGAAGAGCCATGCATTTTTAGGCAGCTATCAAATTTGGTTGCTCTGAAATATTTTCTTGCTCTCTGCTGCATAATAGGCAACTGAAACCTATTAATTGATTTAGTAGTGTACTTTATACATACATTACAAGATCCAAGTTTAAACAAACATGTTTATTTTAATATGAAGTAGTTAAAAGTGTAAGAAATATGTTTTACTAGCGATTGGGATGATTTATATTTTTCTGTTTTAGGTAAATGCCATGAAATCATGTTAATTTCTACTTCAATGTCATAAAATGTTGTTATTATTATCTAGATTTATCACTGCAGCCACTGCTTGAGGGTTTGCATTACTCACTTTAATTTGAATTTCAAGGTTGTGGATGTTAGATCTGTCTTAAAATGTCAGTTAGAGACTCTTCTGAGCTCGCTGGGGCTTTGGAAACAAGAAATTCTGGTTCCGTTGAGAAAGGCGGGAGCATGTTTGAATTTTGAACCTTCCCGCTTAGAAGTGAACGGCCAACAGCTGACGCCAGCAGAGTTACGACCCTTAGGGAATGGAAAGAATGTTGAGCGGCCTGGTTAATAAGGGCCTGAGGAGTCAGATAAAGGATGTGTCTGTTTTTTCCTGGACAATAGCTTTACTTATTTCCCTCTGTCGAATCATGCTGCTTCTAGTTTTCTTCTTCCAGCAGCGATTTGTCACTAGGTTGTTATTCAGATGGGAAGAAGTGTGCTGTGGATCTCTTCTCACAGCACACGAAGAAAAAAAGAAAACCAAAAAAAAAAAAAGCAGATTCCAGATTTGAAACCACTGGGTAACTCATGGTTGCTCATATCCTCGTCTGATGTGCTCATTCCCCCTGTGTCCTTACGATGGCTGAAGTTAAAGCTTACTTCACCGTCTTACTTTTTTTTTGCCAGAAATCTGCTCATCTCCTCTTAGGACTGTTTTCCAGCTGCTGTTCTCAGTCTTCCGCTGGCCCTCTCTCTAGAGGATGTGGGTTTTTTTTTACTATTTCAGCTGCTGCAGCACAACTTTCCCAAGTTTTTTCTTGGCATAAATGCCTCCCTCTGTTACAGAAGAGCTACAGTGAAAAGCTTTGGATAGAGGAACCTGCTCAGAGGCAGTCTGAAGAGTTTAACCATGACTGTTTTAATTAGATTATTTCCTTTTTTCTGCAAAACGCGTCATGAAAATATCATGAACAATCTAAAGTATCCATCCATCCGCCATCCGTCTGTTTATGTGGTTTATAAAATTCAGTCGTTTGCCAAGAGCCCTGGCAGAGATTTTCTATCTTTTGCCTTTGGGTGGGGTTGTGCTGGGTGGAGATCTGATTTTAACTTGCAGGAGCTCAACTCTTTGATGCCTTATCCTGCTTAAGTTCAACCATGAAGGGCAGAAAATGATGCTATCACACTGGAAGCGCAAAAATCCCCCCCAAATAAAAACAGGAAGTTGAACTATATCTTCCGATTTCAGATTTTGGTGAAAGCTTAAAACAGCCTCATCCTCCCAGCCACTTTACATTCTCCAATGTGATGCTGTCTTTCTGCAGCTGTGACAAAAGCACCCTGGATAGTAAAACCTTCAGCCAGGTGTAAACGTCGTGCTTTGCTGTGTGCACACATGACCTTTACTCACGCACAATATTGGGAACAAACCCCTCCTTTTCAAAGGAATACTCAATGAGTTGCTTAACACCCGATCCCATGGAGAAACTGTAAACTTTGGCTCACAAAGTAAATCATTAAGGACTCTCCATACTGTTTAGAAATACCAACATACCTCTCTGCTTTCTCGTAGAGAGAAATGGCAAGAAATCAATAGGACAGTGAGCAAACTACGAATGAATTGCCAGTTTTCAGCCTCTTGGCCAAATTCCACTTGTACTTCCATACCACGCCCCCCCGCCCCCCTCCTTGCTGCTCTAGAGGCAGGAAGATGGAGGAATGCTGTGCTTTGCTGTTGCTTAGTAACAGCTATCCTCCATGGTTTGCTTCCAGCAGCAGTTATGCCTTTTCAGCAGGTGCTGCTGTGTTTCTAGCTACATTCTGAAGTAACACCATTAGTGTAGATGTACCGTATTAGGTTGACTTTAATTTAAGCTTTTCTGAATATTTTTTATGATTTTGTCTGTTTTTCCCTGTAACATGGTCTATTATTTGCTTCTGGATTATTTGCATACATTAGTAAAATGCTGCTTCGTGCTTGGAATCCACTAGTCCGTCCTTTGCTTTCTACTTTATTTAGAGCAGTGCAGTTGTGTGGCTGCATGTCATGCCACCGCCTGTGGCTCTGTAGTGCAGACCCACTGCAGCATTCTGACAGAGAGATCCCCCCCCCTGCTGCCTGATGCTCATTATGATTCTGTGCTCTGTTTGAAGGCATAGACTGTGAAAAACCTAAGACTTTTCTCTGCTTTCTAATAGTTTCATACTCATGTAATGTTTTCAATATTTATTTAAAGTCAAATCTGAATAGTTTGATTTGCATTGGTATTTTATTTAGCCCTATTTTCTATTATATCTGTACATAAAATGCACAGAAATCGAAACATAAACACAGCATCGCCAGCACCCCTGAACCAAGCTTTGAAATTCTCCTGTTCACCGTTTCACTGAACTGAGAGGCAAGGAGAGCATTTAACAGATTATTCAGGCAAAACACTTAGATAGAAAAGTTAACACTCCACATCAGTCTGAACACACCATCCCCACAATGAAGCACGGTGATGGCAGAATCATGCTGTGGGGATACTTTTTTTGTGTTGTTAGCAGGGATGCAGAACATGGTTGTAGTTGGTAGGAAGATTTAGAGAACATATACCAGATAGTTTTTTGGGGGAAAAAATGGTTAGAATCTGCAGAAGACTTTAAGCAGGAACAGAGATTTATCTCTTCCTGTTCCTGAGGAAGAACGCATCAAAACACACAAGACTGGTTTAGATCAAAGCAAACAAGAGTTAAAATGCCCCAAATGCCTAAAACTGGGCATACACTGTACGATATTTTCAATCGTTGTACTCAGCTACAGCTCAAACTGTATGACGAAACCGCAAGGTTTAAAAGTTCCCAGCTCGTGATGCATGTTCTTACATCGCTCTGATGCGATCTAACTGCTCACTCTGCACATTAAAAAACCACAAGTCGGACTCTGCACCAGAGATGCTGCTGGTTGGAATGGTCAATCTGGAAGAAGAACTCCTTTTTTTTTTTTGCACATGTGCAGTGCGTGAGGTTCCTCTTAAATCGGCTTATAGATTCTTGTAGCTCTGCTTCAACAGATTTTGCAAAATATTTGATTTTCTCCTGACGTTATAATTCCTGATCGGGTGGTCGTGAGATGCTGATCGCCTCTCCTTTCCCCCTGTATACTACACGACGCGGGATGAGGCTGAAACTTGGCCCCATCCAAAAAATTCTAGCACGACTGGAGAATCAGCCTGAAAAGAACAAAAATCATACAGTGTATGCCTGGCTTAGATAGAACTGCTAAATGTATTTTAAGAAGAAGAAAGGGTAAATATCAAACTTTCCCCAAAATGCAAACTGTAATAATCAAAATGCTGCATTGGTACATGTTAACAGCTAGTTAAGAGGTTGTGTAGGGGTAATGAAGTGGGGATGTTTTTGTCCTCTGATCTGAGGATCTAAGCTTTTCTTAAGCTGATGTCGTCAGTTCGGAATCTCATCAGATAAACACTGCGGTCCCAATCTTCATCTTCACATAAAGACAAAGGGCTATTATATGTGCCTCAGTCTTGTTTTTTTTTTTTTTTACTAATTTCTTCTCTCCTCCTGGTTCCATTCAGCCTACAGAGTCCAACTTAAACAAAAGCTTTCACTTTGCTTGTACATCGTCATGTACCCGAGACCCAAACAGTCAGTCTCTCTTTTCTTCTAACCTCCCCTCCATTTCTGTTGTCCAGTCAGTAAAGCAGCAGCTGTGCGATGCATTGTTGGGTTCAACCAGACAAACACTAAGTATCATGAAGCCAAGACAGGCCCACAGCCTTTTTGTCTCTTTGCCTGTAGCCCATTGGTGCTAACCGGTCCCCAGTGTCACAGATGTAGAGATGGGTAAATGGGAGGAGAGGACCATACGTGACAAAGGGAATATTGAGAGAGTTGTTCCATTGTGGCTATATTTGAAAGGTTTGTCTGCTTTACAGTCCCTTTTGAAATGGGAAACCATTAAAGGGTAAGAATCCCTAACAAAGACAGCTGACTCTGAGGTCTGTCTGTGATGTTGAATGGGTTGTAGGGTGATTGGATGTCAGCGGAAAATGCAAGAAGGAAAGAAAACCATCTGGACTATATTTGAAGTTTAAATAAAGTCACTCTCCTTTTGTGGAACTGTAACAACAAACAATGCTCGACAACTCTGTTTT